CTTGAAAACATCTGTTTCAGTCTGACAAATAGTGAAAGCAATCAGTTGGAAATTATTCATCATTCAGCAATGAAACCTAGTGAGGTACTACACCTTCTTCACCAAGAATATTTAAATGATACAGAGTCAGATAGACTGATAAAATGAATTAGAAATAAGTTATATCACTTTATCGACAAGCATAGTACCCAAGTTCTATAAAACAATGCAATGCATTGTTGGTATGGATAAATTGTAAGCTTAGTTGATTTAAAAACTCAACATACAAATAACTTTATCCCGAAGTTACATATCAACAAAACAGTAGGATAAGACTCAACATTCCTACTATTGAAGAGATAGAAGAAAACACAAACAATTGGAACGGTAGTCTTTACATATGGTACACCTTGCACTAAACTCGGCATTTGCAAAATGTGCTTCGTTCCGTCTTCTGTTTCTCTCTTGATTTACTCTTCATATATTCTTATCAGCAGCATCTACTGTAATACGCCTGCGTTATCCCTTACGTTGCTCTTGGCAGAATCCTTACCGATTGCTGGTAATTCCCTATGATTCCTGCCACCCTGTCAACATATACTACTTATATCCATTCTTATCAGCAACGCCCACTACACTATGACAGTAAACATTGTATAAAGTGGAGAACTAAACAGATTTTTTCCAATGCTTTCCTATTTCATTAGTACCTTAGAATATTACCATAGAAACCAATACTTTTCTACGTTATGCAGGTGTTACAAGTGATGTTATAACGTTAGATATAGATGGAACTCAATTAGTATGGTAAAAGTCAACCAGAAAAACATCTTTAATCATTCATGTAGAAACTAGACGAATGACAGCCCTCTGAGCAAACTTTGAAACTATCACATAAAAATAATATTGGTCTAAAAAGGTAATCTCTTCGTATGTTTTTAGTCATTCAACTAAAACATCTTTATCACTTTGACTATCTGAGATACCCATGGTTTGGTAGACTAGTATTTATACAGGATGATGATTGAAGGTGAAATGAAAATTTGGACCGCAGCAGGATCCCAACCCACGACCACCTTGTAGGTCACTTAGTAGAGCATCGAGCTGGAAACCCAGTGGTAGCTGGTTCCAGTATCAAAAAGATGTTTAATAAATTGTATCCCACGGCAGTATTCATCATGGGCTGAAATCAGTTGAATAATCATGGTATGGCCCTCCTCAGGAGTACTCATCCACAACCCCATTCGGTTAGGGAGCAAACTCAAGACCATCAGCTATCACGATGAACACGTTAATCACCCACTTGCTGGGTTGGAGAACAATGGTTCACAGTTTTCTACTTCAGTAAATTCAAAATATTGCGCTACTATCACCCAAGATCTTTAGTTGGTATCCGCCTCATTTCCGATTGGTTGATCCCACCTATAGATCATATGTTCGTATTATAACTTCATGATGTGCATCTGGAAGCATGTCAGTAATGAGCAGTATACAGTAACGTATTTTGACGCTAATGAGGACATAATGTTCAAGGTAGCATACATCACGAATTATATTTTATTTAAACCTTCACTATGAAAAAATCACTAAAAAGCGATATATATATATAAGTACTACTTTTGAGTATATGAGAGTCTACTAGTAATATTTCAGCCACTCTAGTTGGAAGCTTGCAAACTTGTAGAGTCACTGAGAACCTGACAGCACTGGAGAGCTGTTTCGTACCTGTATGGGATTCCTCAGCATTGCAAAACGATAACCCTGTCAGGAATGAGGACAAGATTGTCGGGTCTCACGATAAACAAGTTGCCATTCAATCAGAGGTATGGAATTCAACAGTTCACATTTTCCTAATTCTAGTGATTCACAACATTGAGGGGCCGACATCTGATTGGATTCTAATCCAAAGGTTGAGTGGTAACTCGTTCCCTATGAGAAGTAAAGTGCTGGATTGGACTCCTTTTGGGTTCATTGGTGACCACTGAGTCAATTTTTCGGACAAATTATGAGTCTAATGCTATTAGGTTTCCATTAGTTCTGAGACTTATGCATCTCTACGATGACTATTAACAAGAAATATCTCCAACCAACTAGCAGATCACTACACTTTGTCACTGACTACATATGAGTGCTGCATAAATATGTGCAGCACCGAGAGATCTAGCTATCCAGATGGCAATCCTGACTACTTGGAGATGTAACCACTTTTAACACTGTAGATTATCATTCGGAAATATTGCATGAGAACGTAAATTGTTAGAGGAAACGGTAGAATGGACAAAAATGCACTTTAAGATGAAGCAGATGTTCTTGCTACAGTGATTGAGATACGTTGATAAATCGTATATGCTTAGGGTTAAAAATTTCCCTGCCTAGTTAATTAAACTATACATCACTGTAAAGTATGAAATTTTACAGTTTGAAACCACAATCAATCCTTTTAACACACCATACTAACCTCTATAGTTGGTGTTAGTATATATGAAGTGAAAAACGTTACTGAAACTATTCGAAAGATTATTGCCTTATTTTCAATCACTTATTAACGAGTTACACAGTTCCGATTAGACTAATTCATTCACATGGGACACTAGTGAACAGTTTGCTGTGCAGATCAGTTCACAGACACACCGTTGTGCTCCATTGAAACATCGTACACTGACTGATAGGTTTCTTAATTGACTATAGGTGCTCGCCCGAATGCCATCAAAATTTATTGACTAAAAACGAGTTATCCAACAAAGACAACAAGTATGCACAACCAGATACACAAAATAAACATATCTCTGTTATTTACACTTAAAAAATCACCGAAAAACTCACGCATTTACAAAGAGGGAAAAGACCACGCGCAAGCAGGCTGACCCGCACCTTCCAACTCAACAAGAACAGGCAAAAAGTAACAAATGGGGGAGCAGTCACAAACTGACTCCACCAGATGTTTTCTGCAGTAAATATGAGACTGCATGCATCTTGACAATCCTATGTAGACGGTTGGCAAAGAAGGAGTCTGATGAGACTAGAGGCAATCAGGTGTAGTGTGGCGTGCATTGACATTGTGCGAAGATTGTTGTTGTATTCAGGATTAAGAGCTGTCGCGTTAGCAATCTGGATTCTGAATTCAGTGACCACATTTTGAGACTTGTGAGGCATTATGCACTGACGGGGCCTGTATGTATATGCGGGCGGCCTGTGCACTAGCTAGCTCGTGACTAGTTAACACCGGTTGATAGCATTCGGACAACAAGGTATACTCAATGTAAGCACCAACCACTCGGTGTACGACGGTTAGGCTAGACACACTGATGTGCATTGTGCACTCATGTTCAACGGTGCAGTGACTATCTTCACAGCATCCCCTCGTCGTCATCCTAACAATGGAAGCTACACAGTTGGGCAATCCATCTTGAAACGTCCCAGTGACAAGACCTCGCAGAGACTGGATATCAGATAGCTGAGTTCAGGGTTCAAGCGAATACCGTGATTCAGTATACACCAATCTCAATGCATACATAACACTACACCTGACTTCTTCCAGTCTCATCAGGTGCCTTTTGTGACAACCGTCTGCATGTGATTGTGAAGCTACGTGCAAGGTCACCTCAGGTAGAGAGAACATCTCTGACCCAGACAAGCGTTCACAGCTTTCCCAATCCCATGATGTTTGTCACCTGCTGTTCCATTTGGTTTAGTGACTGCGTGGGCACGGACACGGCGTGGTTCTGAGCGTGTGTCAATCAAGAGGCAAGTGGCGGAAACGGTAAGTCACGTATACAAAAACAGATGGTGAGTGAATCTGTCTGCCTCTATATATGTGTGTGTGCATGTGTGGTCTGTTGGTTAGTTAGCTCGTGTGTAGTCAATACAGTTTGACGATATTCAGAAGAGCACGTATCGCCAATGCAAACACCAATCAGTCGGCGTGCGATGGTTTGGCTAGGCACATTGGTGTGTCTCTCCACAGGATGTCTCTGGTGTGATTTCAGCGAGACTTCAACTGCCTTCGCTTGATTGATTTTAATGTTTTTCAGAGGCTACGAATTTTTCTCGCATACTTTTGTGGATTATTGACTGTAGTTCAAGAAATTTTCGTTATTTTCAGTCCTGTATTCTATTTATACGTAATATTAGTCATAGAGAAAGACATTGGAAATGAAGTAGGTGAAAGCGTTTCGTAAGATAAATGATTACTAATCATAGTGATATTATTAATGTAATAGTAGTGAGACAAAATATAAAAATGGTTGGTAAAAATATGGAAGATCTATAGAAGAAATACTTTTTTTAGTGATATTTTTCAATAGGTAGTAACAGGTAATGACAGTGAACGGAATACTGTGCACCCTTCATAAACCGATTTCGACTGTCTTCAAAGTGTAATGAACCCAGTAGCAACGAAGGCAATAACAATGACAACAACAACTACACACAACGATACCAATCTATAGAATGGTAGAAGCGAGTAATTGAAACTCAGAAATAAGTCATATTGTAAGTAGTTCCTGAAAATTTAATTCTCTTACACAAAACACATGACAACAACAATAAGAGACCAAAAAAGATACAAATAATAAATAATCTTGTGAAATAATAGAAAAAGGGAATCAATTCACGAGAATATAATGATTAAAATCAACGCGTACACACACACACACACACACATATATCAAATTCAAGGGGAAAAAGAAGAGCCACAGCCACAAGGTGTGAAGATGTGATCTAAGGTTGTTGAAATCAGAAAAGGCAAATAAACACAGTCAATAATGAAGAAAAAACAAAGTTGAATACATTGAACAAAATAATTTCATATGCGTTACATACTACACCGACATGATACTTCGAAAGACAAGTGTGCAGTGTTAACAACACGCTTCTTATATTTGTGCATAAACATGCATGAAAGGAAGAAAAAAGCTTTACAAAGCTTAAAGTTCAACTTGTCTCAAGATATGTGCAATGTGTACATTGTTAAATTATCTGGATAAGAGAGGTAGGCGAGATTTCAGTTACAACTGAATATTTTATCGTGAAGCAATTGCTTCTGGAAACTCTTGAGCAAGAGATGCTTCCAACGCCAATTCTAGAAGGAAATTATCACGTAACGGACAGTCATTGACAGATACATTCTTTGATGAATCAATATTTGAATTATTCTTCAAACTAGAGGATAATTTTAAAAAAATAAATAAACAGTATGTATCAACAATGTTATCTAATTTTAAGGTGGTATTCATCATGGAGTAACGTAAGTTAGAGAAACGTTGAGAACCTGTGAGCAGTGGATGGGTGTTTTGTCCCAGTATGGGACTCTTCAGTAGTGGGTACCCATGACCCACTCCCAAGGATCAAACCAAGAACCATCAGGTTCCTCATGCCAGCACGTTACCGTTACTTAGCGCGATCTCTATCCAGTGAGATCGTTGAGTAGCTGTCCTCATGCTCGACTTTTGATTGGAACTTCAGGAATCATCTATTGAAGCCAGTTACAAATCAGCACTAGATTTTCAATACTGATTTATAATGTTCACCATACGAAAAACTGTTGATCAATAGAGTTAGGATAAAATAATTCTCAAGTGGTCTCTATTATTATTATTATTATTATTAGTCCCTTGGGTTCCTAGTGGAACATAGGGCTTCAGTAGCACGCCTCCAGTGACCTCTGTTCTCTGAGATCTTTTGAACCTGGTTCCACGACAGCCCAGAAGCTCTCATTTCCTCCTCGCATGACCTCCTCCATGTCACCCTCGGACGTCCAACTCGTCGCTTCCCATGGGGATTCCACTCGAGGGCCTGACGCGTGATGTCCCCAGTCGGCCTTCTCAGTGCATGGCCAATCCATCTCCACTTCTTCCTGCATATTTGTTGCGTGATAGGTTCTTGGTTGGTTCGTTCCCAGAGTTCCTTGTTGCTTATTTTTTCTGGCCATCTGATCTTCAGCAGCGAGCGTAAGCAGTTGTTGATGAATGTCTGTAGTTTATTGGAAATACCTTTCGTGACGCGCCAAGTCTCTGAGCCATACAAGAGCACTGACTTGACGTTGGTGTTGAAAATCCGTATCTTGTTCCGCATGCTGAGTGCAGAAGATCTCCACACTGGTTTCAGGCTAATGAATGCCTGTCTTGCTTTTCCGATTCTGACTTTGACGTCCTCGTCCGTCCCGCCTGTAGTTGAAACAGTGCTTCCTAGATAAGTGAAGGAGGTTACTTCCTTCAAGTTTCTCCCGTTGACAGTGATTGGAGTTTGTTGTTGTTGTTGTTGATGGTGGTGGTGCGGTATCTTCATCACTTCTGTCTTCTCTATATTCACCTGAAGTCCCGTCTTCGCTGCCTCTTCTATCAACTTGTTAGTTTTTGCCTGCAGATCTTCAAGTTTATGTGACATTAGGCATAAGTCATCGGCGAAATCCAAGTCTTCTAGGTTCTTTTCCGTCGTCCAGTGTATCCCCCTCTTCTCGCTGCCTACTGTTTGCTGCATGATCCAGTCCACCACAATCAAGAATATCATGGGTGATAGTAGGCAGCCTTGTTTCACTCCTGTCTTCACTTCAAAGGCATCACTGAGCTTCCCATTGTGGATTACTTGGCATGTGGCATCTTCATATAGTTGTTGAATGAGGCGGATAAAGGTTTGCGGCACTCCGTAGTATTGAAGCAGTTTCCAAATTACTTCTCGGTCGACGCTGTCAAAGGCCTTCTCAAAGTCGATGAAGTTGAGGTGGAGAGGTGATTGCCATTCTATGCTCTGTTCTATGATGATGCGAAGCGTTGCAATTTGGTCTGCACATGATTTGTACTTCCTGAAGCCTGCCTGTTCCGGTCGTAGTTTTGAATCCAGTGCATCCCTTAGCCTCTCCAGGATGATGCGGCTTAATATTTTACTTGGGGTGGACAGGAGAGTGATTCCGCGCCAGTTCTTGCAAGCACTGAGGTCTCCCTTCTTCGGCAGTTTGACAAGGTAACCCTTCTTCCAATCGTCAGGTACCTTCTCTTCCTTCCACACCTTCTGCAATAGTGGTGTGAGCATGGCCGCTGTTGTCTCTGCATCTGTTTTCAGTGCTTCTGGCGGTATTCCATCTGGTCCTGCTGCTTTCCCACATTTCAGTAGCTTTATGGCGTTCAGGACTTCCATTTTCGTTGGGGGATTAATGTTCACTTGTAGTTCAGCGGCTGCAGGTGGTATTTCTGGACGAAGTGCAGGTGGTGGTCGATTCAAGAGCTTCTTGAAGTGGTCGGCCCATCGTTTCCTCTGTTTCTCTTCTTTTGTAATTAAATTTCCTTCTTCATCTTTTATTGGTTTCATCTGTGTTGGTCTCTTCCCTGACAGCAACCTGGTTATTTGATACAATGTCGTCAGGTCTCTCTTACCTGCAGCCTGTTCTGCTTCACTTGCCAGTGTTTCGTAGAAGTGTCTTTTGTCGTTGCGTGCACTCTTCTTCACTTCTTTGTCCAGTGTTTTATACATTGTGCTCAGTTCCTCTTGTCGTTGAGCATCCTTGCACTGGTTTATCTTCTGCTTCACCATCCTCCTCTCCTCTATCAGCTTCCAGGTATCCGTCGAGATCCATTCCTTGTCTTCTTTCTTCTTCCTTCCTAATACTGTTGTGCAGGTTTCTTTCCACATAGCTTTCAAAGACTTCCAGTGTTCTTCCACACAGGTTTCTTCAGGGATGTTGCTCGATGTCTCCCATTTTGTCTTGATGGCTGCCTTGAAGATCTCCTTTGTAGTTTCATCCTTCAGTTTCCGAGTGTTGTACTTGGGTTGAGGTCTATCACCAGCTTCCTTGAAGGCTTTTAACTTGATTTGGAAGGTTCCTTGCACTAGGTAGTGGTCTGAACCTACATCTGCTCCTCTTCTTGACCTTGTGTTAAGTAGACTGCGTCTCCATTTTCTTGAGATTGAGATAAAGTCGATTTGATTTTTAGTGTGTCCATCTGGTGAAATCCATGTCGCTTTGTGGATATCTTTGTGCCTGAACACACTGCCTCCAATCACCAAATCGTTGAATGCGCAGAATTCTGCAAACAATTCTCCATTCTCATTCATTTCACCTAGTGCCTCTCGACCCATGGTTAGTTCTCTTCCCGTGTTGTCCCCTCCCAGTTTGGCATTCATGTCGCCCATCAGAATTTTGATATCGCCAACTGACGTCTTGTCCAGTGTTGATTGAAGTTGTCTGTAGAAATCCTCCTTTTTCTCTTGCTCTGCATTATTTGTAGGTGCATAACATTGTATGATTGTGACCTTTCTTCCTTTTGAGTTGAATCTTGCTGTCATGATCCTGGAGGAGATTGGTTCCCACTGCATGAGAGCCTTCGATGCTCTTGAGGACATCATGATAGCCACTCCCTCAGTGTGCTCGTGGTTGGCGTCTGGGTGACCGGAGTAGATTATTGATTCTCCAGTTGACAGTTTGGAGAGTCCACTCCCATTCCATCTGCTTTCGCAAATCCCAAGCACTTCGATGTTATACCTTCTCATCTCCCTTGCAATCTGGGCTGCCTTACTGGGTTCAAACATCGTGCGGACATTCCATGTCCCCACGTTTACTTTCGCTTTCATCGAGAGAAGACACATCGGCCAATTGGCTTCCCGAAGGCTTTCACCAACTGGCGTCATTTCGCCTCTCCGATTCCAGCGGGGAATAAGTTTGTTTTCATTTTTTATATTTTGTTTGTGCTTTGAAGTTTCTTTAGCGGTTAGATTTGTTTTACGGGGTAGGGTTGCTAGCCCTATGCCCAACCTTCCCTCTTTACCCGGGCTTAGGACCGGCTAGTAACTAGTTAACTAGTTAACCAGGCAATAAACTATAAACTGCTTCAGAAATGATCAGATCTGATAACTGAGCTATACTAACGCCATCCATGCGAGAATTTAGTATATACACGTAGGACAACAAGTTGTAATGAAGGAAATGAAAAGACAGATACTAATGAAGGGATGTTTACTACTAACATGTGATACAGTAGTCCCTTAAATATGGTACACCTCCCACTAACACAGTCATTTGCATAATGTGCTTCATTTCCTCTTTTGTTTCTACGTTGATTTGCTCTTAACACGTCCACATTGTCTCTTGCGTTCCTCTGAGTAGAATCCTTACAGATTGCTGGTAATTCCCTATGATTTCTGTCGCCCTCTCAACATACACTACTCATATCCATTCTTATCAGCAACCCCCACTACATTAACACCTTTCAAGAAAATATTAGGGTAAATAGATGGAGATTTGATGCTACTTAAAATGAGAATACTACTGTACACAGTTCTATGTTATCCTAGAGATCTCATAGCTGATGATGATGATGATAAAAAGGAGTTTTAGATATTCAACCGCTTGGTTTCAAGAATTGTTGAAAGGCATACAGGAATTGATAGTTATTTACTTCCGGCAAAAGGACTTATACCAATCCAGTATTTTGATGATACCATAGTTGGACTGATGTGTTTGAACAGTTCATACTTCCTTGTTTCAGCAAACTTTGGAAGATTTTTTTCACTTTGAAGAGTAAGCAAAAGTAACAACACGTCGATTATTCATAGTCTTATTGACAAAGAAGTATGAGTATGCTGATTATCTTCAATTAACACTTTACTACTGTCAAATTCCAGCACAGATCAAAGTCTGACTTCACAATCGGATATCAAAATATTTAATAACATTTTCAGTGGATAATTGATCGTGTTTAGCCTTACTGTTCTCCAACCAACCTTTTCAGTATGTCACCACCTTAAAGACAAACCTATCCAGCTAATATTACCTCAAATTAGATCATTCCAATCAAGGGGAGGGGGGGGGGAACACTCAACAATCATGTTGACAAAATAACTACTGTAATCAAGTGTATTCTGAATTAATTATCAACATAAACAAGGAATTATTTTTTCTTTAAAAAAAACTCTGCTAAACATACCTTTCAAGAAACGGTTTCAGTGCAAAAATGTTAATCAGTTTATCTAAAGCCAGTAGATTGAAACAACCTTGATATAGTGTGAGTGTATTGTCCACAGATGTCATATCAATACCATTCGATATATCAACTTCTTGTAACTTCTGTTCAAAAAATCAAATGATGTAGAGCTTAATTTAGAAAAATAAGGTATATATATATGAAATGGAAATCGGTATACACAATCCATACATTCACGAGCAGTGATTTTGCAAATGGTGACCTAATGACCCTAGATATTTACTAGTGGAATGAATAAACTTACTGTTCATCTTCTCCAACAGGTTATACAACAAACGACACTAATTCTATGTTCTCATTTCCCACTTATAGGTTTGCCTAGTTTGTTAAGAAATTAAAACCATATATTATAGTATACAACACATTCTTTGACTGGCACAAACCCTATTCAACTGTTCAATGGTTTAGGGAGGTGTCTATCAACTGATGGATCATGAGTTCAAACCCCGTTCAACTTACCGACGTTTCGATAGACGAGTGTAGTAAGTATCATTAGCGTTCATTTATTAGGTGTGTTGCTTACTGCAAGGATATGCGCACAAGGTGGATGAGTGAGATTTGACCGTTCTTTCAAGGAACACAGAATACCAAAGGAGATAAGTCAGTTATAAGTGATAAGGGATTGTGGAGTGATTCATACATCGACTACACCTTCTTCTTAAAACTTCAACAATGTAAGTACAACGAAGTAAAGACTAGTGTTGACTTTTCCACTTTCCCAGTTCAATAAAAAAACAAAAACATCATAGGATATCAAACTAATCCAATTTATAAACGACTTAAGACAAGAATCTTCGTTAATTATAGTAATGATGGATAGTGGCTAGCAGTGGAATCCAGAATGCGCATTTCGTTCTATTTGAGGCTCGTCAGCTGGACGTACGTGTCTCCCAGTGAGTCATTTTGTTCTCACTGGGATTCCAACTCGTTAATATCAAATTTTATTTCTAAAAACAGAAATAGATTATTCATGTTGTTGATATTGACTAGTGATGGGATCAGTAGAGTGGATTTACAGCCCAGAAAACGACTATTTGACCTTGAATATCCAAGTGATATCATCTTACTGTGAGATAATACACAGACTACTCAAATCGCACTTAACCAATTAACAATTAGTTTCCTTAAGTACGGTATGTGCTTTGCATATCAAAAGCCCAAGTACCATGCGTCAATCTGGGACACCTTTGGTACCGTCACAATGTTAATCTGACCCTAAAACGTCGGGTTTACAACGCTTCAACGTGAGCAGTTACGGTCTACCCCTGTGAAACCTAACCTCTTCTGTCCGAGCTGAAGATTTGCGACAACTCCACGTGTTCCATCATCTTTGTCTCGAAAAGATTGCTCGCTTCCGAAGGCAACACTATGTAATTAATTCCGAGGTACAACAACGTGCGTCCTTGCATGATGGAGATAACTACTCAATAAGTAAAGTCATCTGGAAACACCAGTTACAGTGGCTTGAACATTTACTATGATTGTAGTCTCAACGGCCTCTGTACCACTCATTGCTTGCTAACCCTGGAACAGGATAGAAGAAGCGGAGGGGTGGTTATTGTATGACGTGAGGCAGTAGCACCGTGAGATGAAGGATAGTTGTATCGAGTGCATCATGACTCTTTCAGTGGGGTCTGAAAGATAACGGAACTCAGTGGCTTTAGACGTTATAAGGTATGGTTCAAAATAGAAACCAGCAGCGATCATGCTATAACTTTCTTCTATCTTCTGCTGCTGTAAAGTTATAAATGTTTTGTTTTTAATGTATCTTACTCAACTGTCCTTCTAATTATTTTCTTCATATTTTTTTCCTTTTTATCCACTTCCTTTCGCTTTATGTTTTCAAAATAGTCTTACATTATTTCGTGTGGCATACTTCTTCGTGGTATGCTAATGGTATTGGGGTCTAAAACAAACATTCGGTCCAATTAGGAGGAAGTCATCAACTGGGAGTATACCTACATCCTAACAGTTGCGATAATAAGGCAATTAAATGTTTTAAGTCAACCTACCGAGGTTGACTAAACTGGTCGCTAAATATATATGAATTAAATGAGTCTTAAATAGAAGGAAAATGAGGAAATTACAATTTTTATTATTATCGGTTGATTGGTTGATGAGATTACCTGAGATAGCCATGCTTTTGATAGACTAGTATTATTGATCTTTGGTGATCATGATTAAAGGTGAGATGAAAAAACTGGACTTTAGAAGGATCCAAACTAACCGATACGGGTTCAGTTTTCTACCGATAAAGTTATAAGTTTATACAATGTATTTTCTTTTCTGCATCATCCGAAATGCTGCTATGCCTCACTAACTCTAAACAACCAAAAAAGACTGTCAAACGACAGCCTAGTAAACGAAGTTGATTTAGGACTGACTTGATAAACTATGCTTGACATATCACCACTATGAATTTAGTATTTTTTCTTCTGTGTGTTTATTGGCAACCATCAGAAAGGTGCTTCCGCAGACTGAGGAGAAATTTCTCTTCTCCTTGGATTACTGCTGTTGGTCATAATTCTTAAGCTTATGACATATGCACAGATAATGCTTCCATCATGGTACTTGGAATAGTTTATACATGCAACCTATTGATGATAGGCATAACTTTATTCGGAAATCGAAATACTGCATACGAGACAAAGTGATAGATGCAAACATCGGTACCCTCGCTAAAGATGGAAACAAATCACGGTTTTCTTTACCCAACAATAGACTGATTAGCACGAAAACAATATATCACAATGAATATCATAGCGGAATTTAACCCTCTAACAAGGCTTACTTCAATTTGTATGAGAACATCTGTAAGGAGAGGAACAAACGATGGTGCTTTCCGATTGTTTGACCCAGTAATTTCTTGAACTTTCCCATGGTCAGGTAGATCATCAAGAGTAAAGTTTTTAACGAATACCCATTGGTAACTATGATTCAAAACAATTAAAAGTAAAAGATTTTTTATAAAACTATTGTTTATTTTCTATATGACCACAAAAGAAATTCATCACGATAGGATAGAAAATTAAGCATCACTAATGCATCTAAATTCAGTATGCGACTACCGCATAATACTACTAACTACTTGCGAGTAGTATATATTTTAAAACTAATTTTTTTAGGACATCACAGAAATCTAGCATTTCACAGTTGCACAGGAAAATGAGACAGTTTTGATACTTTTAACCAACAATATCGTGCATGGTTTATCTTCTGTTGATATGTTGGTTCTGCCTTTAAAATGATTAACAGTCTTTCAACGCGAAACTATAAACGATAAGTTAAGTTGGGTATGTGCGGTGTTTTTTACATTTCAACGGAAAAATATTTTTCGAGGATACTGTTGTCACCCAACGTCAGTTACATACGAAGCAGCTATCAAGGGTGTCTTCTGTTGTTCCAAGTTGACCGCAGAGTACTGGAGTGTTCTCGTGTTTTGAGAAATAACCAGTCTGAAAAGTATATCGAATCTCAGCTTGTGATTATTATTGTTATATCGCAGCATTTTCTTCTGGTTAGTATTAACAGCACAAGTATATTTCACAAGCCCATGAAAAAAAGACATTGGGCTCAGAAATGTTTGTACTAAAATATGGTTCAAAATACATTCACTTTTGAGCAGTATTGAGTAACTTATCGTAGTAACAAGAAACTATCCATCTGGAAGACAGCTATTGGAATTTACTAAAGCTTTAGCAAAATAAATATTCGTCTGGAGGTTTGCGGAGGTTTATTAATTCATTTTAAGTTGGAATTCATCATTGACTGACACCAGTTGAAGGGATATTGGAAACCTGAAAGCACTCAACAGCTGTTTCATCCCAGTATGGGACTCCTCAGTAGTGCGAACCCATTACCCCACCACAGATGGAACCCGGAACATTCAGAACCCGCGGTCAGCACGTTACCACTAACCCACTAAGTCGGAATCCAACGGCTCACATTTCCTACTTATGTCAGTTCCCCATATACCGCTACCTATATCCAGTGTCATTGCTGAGTAACTGTCCTCATGTTCCATTTGGTTGGCCCCACTGGTCACGACTTCCGACTGGAACTTCAGGAATCACCTCTTGAAGCTAGTCACCAATGATCCTTGGTGGGGTCGTCGGTGCATACTGCCTGACGAGTCCCATACTAGGACGAAACAGTTATCCAGTGCTTTCAGGTTGCCAATGTTCCTCCAACTGATGTCAGTCGATGATGAATGCCAACCTGAAATCAATTAATTAATCTCCACAAACCCCCAGATTGAATTAATTTAGCGCTCATTACTGACTAGCTTCGAGAAGTGATTCTTGAAGTTCCAATGAGAAGTCGTGACTAGTGGGGCCAACCATGTCAAACTTGAGGACAGTTACTCAACAACGACATTGGATGTAGATCGTACTATATCGTCAACTGACAGAAGTAGGAAATGTGGAGCACTGGATTCCGACCCAGTGACTCAATGGTAACGCGATAACCACGGAGCCCAAAGGTCCTGGGTTCGATCCCTGTCGGAGTGGGTAATGAGTGCGCACTGCTGAGGAGTCGCATACAAGTGGGACAGGACAGCTGTCCAGTACTCCCATGTTCCTTAATGTCCCTCCAATTGATGTCAGTCCATGATGAATTCCAGCCTAAAAATTAAATATTTCTCTGCTGCAAAATGGTTATAACAGAAAACAAAAGTTTAATTTATAGTCAGCTCAGGTTGAAGTTGTTAAACTTCAAAGTTTTGATCTATACAGTTATGTAGTCACCAAAAGACTATTGGACAGTTTAATGTTTCAATGGATCAATCAAAATCATGCGGAGTTAAAGTATATCTGTGCTTATTATGTTGTATCAGTTACATTCCGATCCATTAAGTAACTTTATCCTCAACAATTATTAAATCATATAACTAATCCAAATAACCTCAATTTATATGAACTAATCATCAGATGTCTTCGTAATTGAATTCATCGAGTTGACGAGGGTAGGGGAGATGAAAAATTTGAAGACATCCATATATGTGTATTTGAGAATTCGTTCAATTATAATGGGGCGAAAAATAAGAACAACTGAATTCTTCACGAGGCAGATGCTGATGAAGTCGCCTAGCCTGGTGATGAAATGTTCAACAACAAATCGCAAAACTAGAAGAACACTAAACAGTTATCAAGAATAATTGTGAATAACACAGTTACAAAGTGGATGTATTCTTCTTCTTTTTGAAAGGAAATAGTATACGGTCTACAAAGGAAAGCACTCCACTTCATTGTCTACTGAAACTGGTGTGCCTCAAGCTGATGTACTTTCTCCTTTTCTGCTTTCGTTTTTTTTGCACGACTTACCTTATTCTGTTGAAACTAATTTTACTAAGTAGGCTGACGACCTGACGGTGTCTATTCCAGTTAACTCCCATTTAGGTTGCTCTAAATTAAATGGATTCTTGTCTGTAGTCGGTCAATGGTCTCTCTCAAATGGTCTCAAGTTAAACCCTTCTGAACGTCAGACTGTTAATTTTAGCCTCAGGCATAAACAAGACTTGTGTGAGTTGTTTAAGTCTCATGACGTCTGTCGCAGCATTGATGGTATTTGTGCAGAAAGTAAATCGAGTGTTAACTACCTTGGGTTGAGTTCTACTCTTTACTTTTGTTGATCGTCTCATATCTTGTAAAACAATCTCCCGATTAATGCATTATAAAAAGAAACTAAGGCTCTCTGGTATAACTCAACTTCTACTTTACAATTTGTTAATCCCTGTATTTAACCTATTCTTGATTGTTCCCTGTTGATCTTTTCTGGTCTTCTAAAAAAGGATTATGTTATATTGCGTAGGGCTTTGATAGCCGTCAGCAGGCAGGGTGATGTGCCCCTGGTCCAATTGAGTAACACTGTAGTTGATAGACATTTAAATTCTAGCAAGCAACTAGCTACAGTAATTTTAATTGACACTGAGTATCCACTTCATTCACAGCTCTCTCCTTATATCTCCTCAGGGAGGACAAGAACTCGTACAGCTAAGTACAAGAATTCGATTTTACCTTATCTATCACACATATTATGTGAGGAAAAACGTATGTTAGAAAAGAACTCACTATATCAACTTTGTAACAGTTAACAATCTCATTTCAATAATTTAATTAACAATGTAAAATGTTCTCGTTTTAATATTCCTTACATTACTTTAATTCTTATGATAACACAATTCGAAATGTTGTAAAGGAGTATATATATATATATATATATATATATAGTTTCTGTTGCAATATATCACGCTGAGACTTCCAAAGTGTGCCCAAAACTGTTTGGATTACAGTGACTATTATTATTATTATTACGTATCAATACTTACTAAGAAAATTGTGGCACTTTACTTTCTGGACATAATAAACTGGTGGCTAAAAATTTACACGCGCCAAGATATAAATTCATTTGTGATGCAGATAGGAATGTTGATGATGAACTATCTGACTTCAATTTCTTTGTATGAATTCTAGAAATACTGACAAAAAAAGCAAACTTTTTCATTATACAAAAAATCTTACGATGAAAACAGAAATAAAAATAGTAGAGTAAAAGCATCTTATTTGTGAAAAATATTATGCAAGATAACGGGAAATGATCAACAAGAGGATTAACCTTCTAAATGAGGTAGAAGATTAAATAAATTTCTGATGTTTCGCTATTTCATGAAAATCGCTTCTCCAAATAATAAAAACCAGCACGCCTCCACCCCCCCTTTGCACCCTGTTCTCTGCAATCTTTTGAACCTGTCTCTACGACAGCCCAGAAGCTCTCATTTCTTCCTCACATGATCTCCCCCATGTCAACCTCACCTTGGACCCAACTAGTCGTTTCCCATCTAGGTTCCACTCGAGTGCCTGGCGCGTGGTATTCCCGAATGAATATGAACATAAATGTCTCTTTTTGAGATGAATGGGGATTTTTAATTTAAAGGTAGTATTCATCGGGGAACCATTAAAAATCTAGGACCACTGGATAGCTGTTTCGTCCGCGTTCGCTGTGAAACCTGAAGGTCCTGAGTTCGATCCTGCCCGGTGGGGTTGTGGATACGTACTGCTGAGGAGTCCCATACTAGTTGGACGAAACAGCTGTCCAATGCTCCCAGACTTTCAGTGGTTCCCCAAACTGATGTCAGTCCCTGATGAATACTACCTATAAATGTCTCTGTTATAATCAGTCAGGATAAGTTCAAACTTGCCTTTGCTAAATTTAAACAGTATAATGAGAAGACGAAGATTATGTGACACATGTGTAGTGTATTAGTGCTATACATTTCAAACAATCTGATCGCAAATTAACTTGACGAATTATTCATATGATAATTTACGTAAAAGAGTCAACGAAGTCAGTAGGAAGCATAGGAATAGGAAGGGCAGAGAAAACAGTACAAAATCTAGATCACATTACATCACTCTTGGTATGTGGTCGGTCCCTGGTTCGAATCCCGCCGAAGTCCAAATATTCACTTTACCTTAAATCATCACCCAGGATGAAAATTAAAATCAATACTATCAAGATAGGTTGAATGTGAGTACCGTTATTAGAGTCTGGAAGTCAAAGTGAAGATGTGAATATGAGTGCACATGTGACTGGGTGTGAATGCGTATAAAAAATACTATGGATGACAAATTTGGTTTGTTTATCCTTAAGTACGTTTGTTATGATTACTGAGTATGGGTTGTTACTTTGGATATACCGTTTAGCTTGGTTGGATAGTTACACCTTCTTTCTGTTGAGTATATTAAAATCAGCATAATGTGAAATCCTCAACCATCCGTATTTGTTTATAGTTTGAAAAGCCTTTTTGAATAATTTTAGTATTTTCAACATCACTTTGAGAACAGTGATTGCCGATTAGATTTCGAATTCTTTAGTCATCGTTTTGTGTAACTTGCATATTCTTTAAACCGATTGAGAATCTCACGAGATCATTCCTCAATATAATAGGCATCGCAATCGACATAGCCTAGTTTGTAGACACAATTCTCATTGGAGGTAAAAAAGTTTATCTTTCCAGGGAACTAAAGCATTCCTGAGGCTGTTGGTTATCTTGTAGAAGGCTGTAGTTCGGCGCTTTCTTAATCCTTCGTAGCTGTCCAGTTGTAACTTGGCGGTAGAACTCCCGTGCTAATTCAGAAATCATTGTTAGATTTTCCTCTTGGATCACTCTGCTCATGTTTTCGAATATTTTGAACGATATTCTTAGGGTAGCTATTGGAATGTAACACATTTAATATGCTTCTTACTTCTGTCTGTCACTCGTCATATTTTTATCGATGAAGCCATGAAACGGCAGAAATTTATTTTTCTACGTCAGCGGGATTTTACAAGTATATTTCATTTATAATCGATTTACTCAATGCTCAATTATTCAACTCTATAAGATCAAATTTTAAACCTGAAGTCTATGAACCTTCTTCGTTGTAAATGCTTTTAATGTAACAGTCAAGTGATCTGTGCAAATTTCTGCTCGACCCATCAGAATCGCCGAGAAAAGCATTTTCAGTGCATAATATTACACGAAACAAAAGAAATTGTACATGATAGTATTGTTGTACTGTGATTATCCATTTTGTGATAAGAAAGTAGAAGACTGACAATCCAGTTAGGCAACATGAATTTGGTCCTTTTAGAAGTAATCCACTGGACCCATACAATTTCATGTAAGGTAGGAAAAGGGACTCAAAGTAGGCAGATAATATGTTTATCCAATCACAAACGACGACAAATACGATAAAACTGTTTCGTTTATTCGATCTCCCTTGAACATGTGTTGCGCAAGCCAAGTCACAGCCTACCACGATATGCAGTGTTAACAGTAGTTGGATTACATTAGAAGAAGGCTCACAGTAGTCATACTAAGCCGTATCACCAGTCTGAGTCGTGATCTAAGGACATATAGGGAGATGTAGACTACATGGTCGGGGTCCCTGAGACCAGCAGAACCAATCTTCGCTATAATTAGCGCAAGCAAATCAGAATTCATGGATTTCAGAGGAAGTCACAGTGAAAATCTTCACTTACATCTCATATGGTTGTGTTGCTCTAAACACGGAACAAATGTTATCAGTTAGTTCAAGTAAGGTGGTTCGACGTATTATTACGGTCGATCGTAAACATAAGAAACGGTTGTCTTGTGTTTTAATTCATCTATCTAAATGTAGGCTAGCAAGTATTCATGTCAACGGCTTCACTGAACATCGATACAAGGTCTACACAATAGAAAACATTCAAATCCGCGAATGAAACATACTTAAAGGTATGATATCTGATAGTATACAATGTCCAAATATACTTTAAAACAAAACTTCACTCTTACGTTCATACCCATGATAAGAAGTAGAAAAACATAAAGCTATAGGTAGCGAAGAGAATAATTTTGGCTATGGAATTCTATCGGTAACTTAAGCGACAGAAAACGTTTTGTTAAACTATGCGGTAGACCAGAATACCAAGCCATTCTCTAGCTCAATGTATGATAACCGTAGAAGTAGAATTAAATTGGTAGAAAGTGAACATTGATCAGACCAATCCCATGAAGTCACTCAATAGTGATCTAAATGATACAGAGATATGCAAGTCGTCTAGTGAAGTTGATTCAAATGTTATGAATAAACATTGACTGATCCCGGATGAAATGATTCAAAATCTGATCACTGCGATCCAAGATTTATTATTTGTCTTTGCACAGGTTAAAATTTTGAATATCTTATAACCCTTAAAGCATTTATTTTGTCTTTCAACGTGTCTTTCCTTTTGCTGATGTTTTCTTCCTGTACTACTAATGCTGAGAAATTCGATAAATGTAATTTATATACTGGTAGTGCAAAGTTCTATTTTGTTGCTTGTAACTATCTTTTGCAATATTTCAGGAGAGATGAACACCTATACAGGGACTACTTATTCACTGGGTAACGCTGAAGTATTAACGTTCACAGTTAGCCGAGGCAGAAACAAAGTAAAAAGGAGTGGCTCTTGTGCCTTCACGCCCTAGTGTATAACGCTTGGGCGTTTGGAACGATGTGTACTGGATCCAAGTCTCAGTGCGAACACTGTCACTCACTGAGGTAAAGCTACATCTAGTTGATGAGTCCCAAATACGGCGAAACGCATGTCCCACATTCCACCGCTAGCCACCAAGTAAATGATCAAATAAAAGGATCTTCCTAAAACAGTAGTGCAAACCAAGACATGATACTCTCTTTCTCTCACATTTAAGGACATAGGCAACCAATCACGAACGCCCGCCTAAAAACCAATCAGATTTAAGCGTTGACACTTAAGTCTTTTGTTTCATGTCATCCTTAAATCTTGACACATTTCGAGAATCCGACCTAAATTTAATTCAAGGGAAAAATGTTTACAATTTTTTCTCAAAACATAACTTACTGTTCATGAATTGTTTGCGACAGTGATTTGAACGTGAGGAACTATCAAGTAAAAAAAAACAGCACAATGAGTGAATAAAAATCACTGTAAAAACGTTTGTATTCATTCTAACTATCATTAGCTTTCAGATGATTGGTTGAGATGACTAATGTGTTATTTTACAAACTATTCCAACTGGTGTGTGGCTTCATCAATCGCCTTTTTGAATCAACATCATCTGAGTTAGGCATACTATTTATTCCGTATTATCACAAAGCGGTGTGTATGAATCTTTGATCATGCGATGATACGCGAGTGACTTTAAAGGTCACTGCTAGTATGACCAATCAGGTTGCAGTATTTCGGCTGAGATGGTAGTTTTTAAAGAAATAATAAAGAAACGCAATTCGTTATCTCAGCAGTTGTTACAGGCGCCTTTAAAGTCATTGGTGATACACAAACAATCTTTATTAGGACAGCTCAATTGGTCGCAGATAGCAGAGGAATCCATGACGCGCGTTTCGTCCTATTTAGGACACGTCAGTTGGATGTACCTGCACCCCAGTGAGTGATGTTGTTCCCACTGGGACTCGAATCTCGTACCCACCGGCCCAAACGCCAAGGCGTTAGCCACTATGCTACTGAAGAACGAGTAGTAGTCATTACTATTTATTGACATACTTGTAATTCGCTGTTTTATTGGATCGAATTGTTCGATTTCTATTGGTGTATGGGCTCCTATGCGGATACCTTGATATTGCCTGAATGTTAATATGATAATTTGGTTGGTTGTGGCTAGCAGAAGAATCCAGCCTCCCCCCTTTTCTTGTCAGTCTCAGTGGGAACAACATCACTGGGGTGAAGGCACATCTAGCTGACGAGTGACAAATAGGACAAAACGTGCGTCCTGGATTCTTCTGTTGGCCACAACCAACCAAATTATCATAATTAACATCCAGGCAATATTGAGACATCCTCATAGGAGCCTATATGCCAATAGAGGTCGGACAATTCGATCCAATAAAACAACGGAAAATAACAAGTATGGTCAATAAATAGTTTTTATAACGGTAACGCCAAACTATGAGTAGCTCCAAAGGTCACGCAATCAACAACGAAATAACCAATAAGGTTTCTCTATTTGGGTTAGAAAGACAAATTTTCACAAGAAATTCTGATCGCTTATTTCAGTTGTTGTTGTTGGGTTGGCCTATAGAGTTGCTCCAGGATATAAAGCTTAAGAACTACAAAACTATTTCATGAAGAGATTAACAGGTAGACACAGCTAGTGAGATAGCTCATATTTCAATGCCAGTACACCACTTATAAACACAGAGAAGTTGCATTTTGATGGGAACATCGTTGCCCTTCATTGTTGAAAAGATATTTATCACTGGCGTCAGAAATGACACGATTCGCCTTATACCACGTCAGTGACCTTAAAAGCCATCTTAGCAACTACTGAATAGACCAATTAGGCTTCAGTATTTCGCCTAGGAAACAACTTTGCTATAAAATAAAAGAATGTAACTGGTTATCTCATCAGTTGCAAGGGTGTCCTTTAAAATCAGCTATACCTACAGGCCTCTGTATCCAAGCTGAGATTTCATTAACGATCAATCCATTTGACCTGATACAATATTCTCAAGTGAGTGAGGTAGTAGTCATCATATGCAACCAATTCACCCACCTTCCTTAAACGGGAAGCAGTTGTAAACTAGCTAAGAAATAGCATCTTACATTTGATAGATTTAAAACGTATCCCAAATCTGCTCAAATTTCTCCTCAATATGCTCAGTTATTTACGTACTTCAAGTAAACTAGGTACACTGCTGAAAATAGGTCAATCCCAGTAAAGTCGAAGGCATTTAAAGTTGTGTCTATTGGTATGTTTATAACAAAGTTAAATAGAAACGATGACAGTAGGCATCACTGGTGGACATCACTAGTTGTCAACACTTTAGAGGACAACTACTTCCCCCATCTTCACAGGACTACATGAGTTCAATTAAACAATGAAGAAGTACAACTAACTAACCAGCCCAATTTACTTCTAGGCAGGATAAAGCCACATAAATGCTCATGAGGAATGAGAAATTTCTCTTTTGTTAAGGAAGTAGACTCTAGCCTACCAATGAAGTAATGTAGTACACATCACAAGTTCACAAGATGCTTCTCTAATAGAACTCAAGCATAAAGGTGATTAAAAAGACTTCTCAACGTCCCTAGAAGACACCAATCAAGCGACTTTATAAAAATTTATCAGAAAAAAAAGAAATAGCATACTAACCAATTCTGGTATAACTATTGGCCATAGAGAAGTTAACTGCATAGCTGACATACGAGATATCAAGACACGAGCAAATAGAAATACGTGAGCATGTACAACTGGAATTATGCCTTGACCTAATCGTAGACACTCTGTAAGGCGTTCTGTAAAACAAAACAGAACAAAAAAACAGATCATAAACAATACTTAAACATGTAAACAGCATATACTGAACAGTTAACAACTGTTTTATGTAATAAAAGAAATGCTGAAGTTAATTTCTTGTGATAAATTAATTCCAATTACCAGCAGATTTGTTTTATGCAATCGCCTCATTGATATATTGAACAAGATTGATCGATTTTCACTGATTGGCATCATCACCGTACACAAGAAGTGACAACAGTAACACCTTGTCCTGTAGGATTTTAATCTTTACGGCAGCCTCTGCACAAGTATTCAATCAATCAATCATTATCAACATAGGACCAGGCATTACTGCGTAACGGTCCGAGTTGCCACAGCTCACGTCAGTAGTAAAAAGGTAGTGAGGTGAAGGAAGAAGATAAGAGAATGCAGTCAAAAGAAATATAGGGTACGAGAAGAAAGAAAGGAAGAATGAGAAAACGGTGAGATTCGGTAAAGCATAAAGATGAGGATAATGTGTGTATACATCTGCGCCACTCACATCGGTTCTAAGCCATATCACCTAGAGTCTCCAACCACTAGTTTCTCTTGTCCCGTGGACCCCAACCACCTAGTCTGCATCGTCCTACATGGCTCAAACCAACAGTCAGAGACTTCATACATTCGTGCCATGTTTTAGTCTGGCCACCTCAGACAATATTGTGTGAAGAGGCAATCGGTGACTAGGGATACATAACGCATGTCCCAACCATCTCAGTCGATGAAGGTTCACAACCTCGTCAACTGACTTACCTCTTCTCCCTAAAACTCTACACCTGACTTCTGCATTACTCACGTGGTGACACCACGGAATACGTCCTATACTACGAAGGCAACGGTGGTCAAACACCTGAAGCCTTTTTGTATCCTCCACTTCCAGTGGCCATGTTTCACAGCCATATAGTAGAACAGAGCGGACTGCTGTGCAGTACACGCGACCCTTAATAGACAAACGAATATCACGGCGGCGCCATAGGTGGTGCAAATTGGCAAAAGCCAATCGAGCCTTTTGTATCCATGCAGAAATCTCATCGGCAACTAACCCACCAGGGTTGATCCCACTTCCCAGGTAAGTGAAGTTGTCAACACACTCAACCACTTCACTCTTTATTATTAGCCGCGGTACCGCTAAAGACCAGTCCTGGAGCAAAAATTTGCATTTGGGTGGTGAAAATCGCATCCCAAACATTCTCAAATTCCCACTCAAAGTGTTCACAAGACTCTGCATCTCATCAGTCAGCGTCTTCACCTAACAGGGCTGACTATGTCATCTGCATATTCTAGATCTAAAGAAAATTCACCTGTGATCGGGTCAACGTCTCTGTAATTAGGTGAGGAGAGGGAAACCTCCAGAAGTATATCTATGATAAAATTAAATAGGAATGGAGACAGTGGGCATCCTTGACGGACACCACTTGATGAGTATAGCTCCCTGGACAACTCGCCATAGGCTCTTACATGCCCACAAGTGTTCGAGTAGAGAGCTTTCAATAAGGTGATGTACTTACTAGGCCGCCTTTCAGTGACAGACATTCCCATAAGACTTCTCGATCAACGGAGTCAAATGCCGCCTTCAGGTCGAGAAATACAGCTATTGTCGGGAGTCTGTAAGCATGCCTATGTTCCAGAACCTGGCGCAGCGTGAATACATTCGATCAAATATCGAAAATGTAATGAAAGTGCGACTAGAATTCAACTGCTGATCAATACGATTTATATCAGAGGGTCAGTATAATGCAAATTACTGACTCCGTACTAGTGTATTTAGTAAGTTATCAGACATAATTCATGCGTGATATTACCCGGTTTCCTAGGCCGAAGTAGCTGGGCTTAGATTTCAACCTGCAACTTAATGCTTAATCATGACTCCAAGGAGCATAAACTTTTGACATATCTCGAAAACCAGTAAAAATGTGCCAAGGTGAATTAGTTCTTATTCTATAGTAGACTCATTTACCTGATTTATAGCACACAGTGAGTCATACAGTATTATTTACTTGGTGACGACGTTCCTAGCATAAATTATCATTGCCCATCATCATATCAATGTAATCACACCATCTTCGACATCTGCTTCTTTTATCGTCCTCTTACCACTTATTATTTGTTTTTATTAGCAGTAAAATTTTCCATACCTCTGGTATAAGTGTTGCGTCATTCCTATGACCTGCACGTTGGGTGTTGATTGATTCGAAGAACAAAGATTCAGAAATCAATCTCTCCCTTTCTCCACTTAATTATATTTAATTTGAGTACGGTGGTTTTATCCACCACAATAATGTGTGGTTGTGTGTTATTGCATGCATTGCAATAGCCGAGTGTTTTCCGAGGTTATTGACCGTAATGGGGCCTGTCATTCAATATTTAGCTAAATTCCTATGTTCCGCTAATCTAACTGACCTCGATCTGCTAGTGTGACCTATGTAATTGACTTCGTAGTCATTAAATGGAGCTTGTTAGATTAGATCATTTTGCTTAATTCCTTCTACCTGAGCATTAGGAGAGCTGACAAAGCTCATCTCTGAGTCAGTTTGTAGGTTCAAGTGGTACCTTAGTTCCAGCTTCGTTAACGATCCTACGTAAACGCTCTGATATACCTTCCTTACAGGTAACATAACGGAGACTGTGAACTCTTTTCTATTACTGTTGGTGTTATTTTTCGTACTCATGTGACTGTCATTATTTCGTTTCTTGAGTGTTCGTACGAATATCTAAATAAACTAACCATAGAGGACAATTATTAACTATTAGCGCTTCTTTTATGTGCTTCAGTTCATTGTTTAGGTCCTGACAGGGTCAGTCAGAACAGCGGAACATAAGAATTTAGCTAAATATACAACGACAGACCCCGATAAGATCAATAATCTAGAAAAATACTCGGCTACCGCAATGCATGCATTAACATACAACCACACAATATGGTGGGGGAATCAAAACAACCGTACTTAGGTTGAATATGATTAGATGGATAGAGAGGTTGATTACTGAAGCTCTGTTCATCGAATCAACCAAAACCCAACACCCGTAGTAGGAATGACACAACACCTATTACCAGAGATATGGAAAATTTGATTATCAATCGAAACAAACAATATGAGGTAGCACGACTACAAGAATCAGATGTCGAAAGTAGTATGATTCATCCATGCATGCAAGTCAACATAGGACAAGGCATGACTGTGTAACGGTCCAAGTTGCCACAGCTCATACGAGTACATTGAGTAAAAAGGCAGTGAAGTAGAAGATGAAGAAGAAAAGAAAATTCAGTCAAAAGAAGTATAAAGTACTAAAAGGGAGAGAGGAAGAATGAGGGAATGGTGAAACTCGGTAAGGCATAAAGATGAGGATAATGTGTGTATACGTCTGAGCCACTGACATCGGTTATCAGCCATAGTGCCTAGAGTCTCTAACCACTGGTTTCTATTGTCATGCGGACCCCAACCGCCTAGTCTGCATAGCTCTACATGGCAAAATTAACAGTCAAACACTTCATACAGTGATTCCATGTTTTAGTTTGGCCACCTCGAACCTCTTCCCAGCTTGGACCTACTTTGGCCAACATTGTATGACGAGGCAGACGGCAGCTAGGTATTCAAACGCGTGTCTCAACCATCTCAGTCGATGAAGGTTCATAAACTCATCAACTGATTTACCTCTTCTCCCTAAATCAGTTGATGAGATTGTGAACCTTCATCAACTGTCAGCCCAAGCTTTACACCTATATTTATGATTTAGTTCTGCTTGTAAGTACAGGCGTCAGAGATTCAGAATCCAAATTTTATTCGTTTAAAAGTGTTTATTTGATGCGCAAATGAGTGTTTCCAAGGTAAGTAGTACTGTGAACTTCAACTGTTAATCTATATTTCCAAATCCCAGCTATTTGTACGGATTATAAAATGGCAAGAAACAACCAAACAGCACTGAACAGTAGTCTGAGACCAAATAAGCGATCAAACTTAACTTATGGCCATAACTTCAAGCGAGAATACACCAAAATGAAAGATGAAGAAATAAAGCAAGAATTTTTTTTAATGACTATTATTATTGTTATTATTATTATTATTTATCCCTTCGGTTCCTAGTGGAACATACGGCTCCAGTAGCACGTCTCCATTCCACTCTATTCTCTGCAATCTTCTGAACCTGGCTCCACCACTGCCAAGAAGCTGTCATTTATTCCTCCCACCAACTCCTCCATGTCACCCTCACCTTGGACGCCCGACTCGTCGTCTCCCATTCAAGTTTCACTCGAGGGCCTGAACTGACCCGTTGTACCTCCAAATGGTCTTCTCACTGTATGCCTGATCCATTTCCATTTCCTTCTGCATATTTGTTGAGCGATAGGTTCTTGCCTTGTTGGTTCGTTCCCAGAGTCAGTTCCTTGTTGCTTATTCTTATTATTCTGACCATGTGATCTGAGCTTCAGTAACGAGCCAGCGTAGTCAGTTGTTGATGAATATCTGTAGTTTGTTGGAAATGGTTTTCATAACGCGCCAAGTCTCTCAACCATCACATAGAAGTACTGACTTGACTGACTTAGTGTTGAAAATCCGGATATTGTTCACGCCTCATGATGAGTGCAGAGCAGTAGATCTCCACACTGATTTCAGATTAATTAAAGCTTGTCTTGCTGTCTTTCCGATTCTAGCTGGCTTTGACACCATCTGTGCGTGTGCTGCCTGTAGTTGACACGATGCTGCCTAGGTAGGTAGATTTCTCCTCTTGATGCTGATTAATGTTTGTTGTTGTTCTTGTCATTGGTTGGGTATCTTCGTCACCTCTACCTCTGTCTTCTCTACGTTCACCCGAAGAAAGTCTCATCTTCGCTACCCTGCCTCGCCTCTTCTGTCAACTTGTTATTTTTCGCCTGTAGATTTTCGACTTTGTGCAACAAGACATTAGACATAACTGATCATCGGCGAAATACAAATCTGCTAGGGCCTTTTCCCCGGTCCAGCGTATCACCCTCTTCTCGCTCCTCACTGTTTGCTGCATGATCCAGTCCACCACAATCAGGAAGACTATAAGTGATAGTAGACAGCCTTGTCTTACTCCTGTCTTCACTTCAAAGACATCACTGAGCTTCCCATTGTGAATTACTTGGCATGTGGCGTCTTCATATATTTGTTGAATGAGGTTGATAAAGGTTTGTAGTATCCTGTAGTGTTGAAGCAGTTGCCAAAGTAAAGCAAGAAAGTAGTTAATAAATTCGGATAGGAGAACGCATATACATTTCATTGAAAAAACTTTGGAGTCTGAATAAATTTGAAAATGCACACATTTGGAAGGAAGCCTTCCTTTCGCGCATTCCTAATATCCGGTCGATTATTCCATGATGTATTTCTCTGCTGCATTGAATGGTTATAGTCTGACTAAATAATAATCATTTCACTTAAGAAATGAATAAAATATCTAAGAAAAAAACAACAGAAATATAAGTATTTACTTATTTAGAGTACAACATACCCAATAAGTCAGGCATTGCTTTAGCATACTGATCCGGTTCACTTGCATACACTAAATAGGATAGCTTTTTTAAGCAAGCAGCTCGTAGTTCATATTCAGTTTCTTTGTTTGTAAATAAATTTAAACCTCCCGGTTGAGCAAATACAAGACGAGCTAAAATATAATCAAGAAAATAATACTGTACAATGCATACATCGAAATTCCTTCGTTATAATAACAACTACAAACACCAAGAACAATACATTTATTGTATATAGAGGTAGTTTTCATCATGGACTGACATCAGGTGGGGAAACATTGGAAATCTGAGAGCACTGGATAGCTGCTTCGTTCTAGTATAGGACTCCTTGACAGTATGCAACCACGACCCCTTTAGGGATCGAACTCAGGACCTTCAGGTTTACACGGCAAAACGCGTTGACCATTCAGTCACTGAGTTGGTTTTCAGTGGTTCACACTTTCCAACTTCTGTCAATTCACGATATAGAGCGACCATCACCCAAGATCTTCAATTCATATCCGCTTCACTTCCGACTGATTGACGCCACAGGTCACGGGTTCTCATTTGGGTGTTAGTCGTGCTATATCGTGAATTGACAGAAGTTGGAAAGTGTGAACCACTGGAAACTGACCTAGCGGCTGGATGGTTAGCGCGTTCGCCGTGTAAACCTGAAGGTACCAAGTTCGGTCGCTAGCAGGGTCGTGGGTGCATACCGCCAAGGAGTGCCATACCAGGAAGAGACAGTTGTCCAGTGCTCCCAGATTTTCAATGGTTCCCCAACTGATGTCAGATCAGGATGAATACTGCCTCTAAATTAAAAAGTCACCATTCATTTGAAAAATATTTCACCGCATATATTTAAGCTACATATCACCGATACATAAACTAATATGGATTAATTATTAGAAATGGATAAATGCTAACGTGTTTTCAAGTTTGAAAATTGAAGGGCAATTCTTCTTTGTTATAATGAATCGATTTGTTCAACTTCTGTTGACATATGAGCTCCTGCGCGGATGACTGTTGTAAGGCACCAGTTTTGTATAAAACATTGTTATCGATCTGAACATTTTTAACTTGGCATTCTCACACGACTTTACAGTATGACCCCAATTGTAATGTAATTCACTGATTGGTTAACTTTTAGTCTTACTGTGCAAATGTCTCCGATTACGGATAAGGTCATTTTCCATTTGTATACTTATTCACGTGTTTTGGATTGATTGATTATTGTACTCTCGGAGTAATAAACTCTCGCATCATCCAGCTTCGGTCTTCTCTCTATTCGCCCAAGGGTAGCAAGTCAGTGGGTCTTGCATACTAAGTTGGCTGTTAGCTAAGTGTGAGTATTCTATTTACTCGGAATATATATAACCGTTGAAGTTCAAAGATATAACAATGACTCAATATTGTATGAATATTTATCGTGATAATTCACTTAGTTGTGGCTGGCAGAGAAATCCAGGACACGTGTTTCGTCATATTTGGGACTTGTCAATGAGTAATGTTCTTCTAACTGAGACTCGAACCAAGTACCCATTGCTTCAAACGTCAAATGTGCGTTCTAGATTCATCTGCTAGCCATAATCAAGTGATTTATAATCAGAGGAGGATATTCAAAAATATATAAAGCGCATAAATTGAAATGGAATAATACGCTTAAAAGTTATATGCAAAGCGAGAATTGAAGTGAATACTAGAAAATTAGGCTGAATCGTTTTGGTTGATTATATACAACCGTCAGTAGGAAAATAGAGAAGTAATTGTTACTATGAGAGTCAAATGAAGATCATAAAGTTGAGATATGGCCAACAAATCACAACTATAGTTAACTTAGATTATACAGAGGGGGAGGTAATCAGAAAATTCATTTAAAAGGCATATGTAGGCTAATTCATATGTCCCTTTAGATATAAGGTTGAATTTCAGCTAATAAACCGAGATAGTTTCGAAATATATTGTTCATCTTGAGTGTAATAGGCGACTATCGATAGAGCAGCTAATGCTAATAGGTTTATTAAGGTGAACTTTCTTTGAAGGGAGGTAGGCGAGGAAGAGTAGGTTCAACAAAGTAGCTGAATGTCCCTCTCTTTCTACCATCAATCTACTTAGTTTAGTGAGTTAAAAGAAAATGGAGAGATACAGTTTGAAGTGAACCCATATAAGTAATTATTCGCAGGTGTGATTGTATTACTGAACACTGTAACTGACACAGTACCACTATCAATCTCATACCAAGAAACAACTTCCACTTGATGATTAGTTTTCCATGTTAGATTTGTTTGTTTAACTTATAGCACACAATGAATGATACAGTAATATTTCCTTGAGGACGACGTTTCAAGCATAAATTATCATTGCTAATAATCATATCAATGTAATCATACTAATTTCGACATCTCTCACCTCTTATTCTTTGTTTCTTCACGTAGCAAAGTTTTCCATATCTCTGGAATAGGTGTTGGTTGATTCGATAAACAAAGATTCAGCAATCAATTTCTCTCTCTCTCTCGCCACCTAACTATATTGGACTTCAGTAGAGCGATTTTATCCACCACCATATTGTGTGGTTGCGTTAATGCATGCAATGCAGCAAGCGAGTACTTTTCTAAATTATTGATTTTATTCGGGTCTGTTATTCTACACTTGGTTAAATTCCAATGTGATGGTATTCTAATTGACCCCGACCGGCTAGTTTGCCCCATGTACTCGACCTGACTCACAGTCATTACATGGAATTTGATAGATTACATTATTTTCCTGAATTGCATGCATCAGATACTTAAGTCACTCAACAAAGCTTATCTTTGAGTCAGTTTGCACGTTCAAATGACACCCTAATTCCAGCTTTCTTAACGATCCTACGTAAACATTTTGATGTACCTTTCTATATAGTGTAACATAATGGAGACTGTCAACTCCTTTCTAATCCTGTTGTCATTATTATTCGCACTCATGTGACTGTTAGGCTTTCGCTTCTTATGTGTTCACAAGAATTTCTTAATAAACTGTAAACGATAAATATTTACTATTGGTGCTTCTTCTACGTACTTCAGTTTCTTGTTTACATCCTTGCATTGACTACTCAGTTTTCTACGTCTATCATCTAGACATTTGACTTAAACTGCCTTAACTGACATTGGATGAGATGACTTGAAGAAATTTCCTTACACATGTAAACTCAGTAGTAGGTCCAGTCCAATTCAAATGTCGGAAGTGGAGTGTGATCATACTGATATGATTATGAGCAATGATAATTTATGCTCGAAACGTCATCAAGTAGATAATACTGTATCACTCAATGTGTGTTATGCATCAAATAAACAAATCTAATATGGAATTATGAATTCTACCACAGTGTCGAAGTTTTACACTTATATTAACGATTAGTTATGCCTGATACACCGATTCAGCAAATAATGATTCTTTGAAAGTTTAATTTGTAACATACATAACACTGATGTCAATGACCAGTGTACTTGGTGTAGTGTTTGCCTTACTATACAGACTATTTACTAAATATTATGCATCGGCTTTGAAATTTTATGCTAATGGGCAAGAAACATTGACTGCCTAAAATATAAGGATCATTGATAACAACAAAAACATAAATTTAGGGTGGACTAGACAAAGTTTAAGAAATTAACTTACTTAAATTGTTAAATACTTAAATACTAAGGTAAGTACGGTAAGTACTTGGACTGTCCCATCTATCATTTATAGTACAAGGTTATTTGTCTAAGCATTACACCAAAAGAAATATCCCAAATATTCAGTGGTTATACGACGCAGATATTTATTAAATCATCTACCGTTTTCATCTGGGATAACAAACAAACCTATATAGAACCTTGCACAAAAGTGTAACGATTTTAGGTGCTAGATCGCAACAGAACAAGTCCTTAAGCGTGAAAATACGGTCAGAATTCCACACTACTTAATACTTGTTAGTAGTATAACTCTTTTCTTAGAATATTTAGCAAGCCATCCGTGACTGAATGCTAAGGTACTCGCCACGAAACCTAACGGTTCTAAGCTATGGATGCACATTGTTAAGGAACTAAAAAAACTATCCAGAGGTTAGTTCCATGATGCAGCCCCTTAACTTAGCTCGATGTCAATAGTTGCTTATCAGGATTGCTGCATCGTTGCACTTGACTGACAGATGCTCGTGAAAAGCCACTACAAATAAAAACCATGAAAAAAACACTGCAGAAACGAACTCTTTTTGAAAGATCTTATAATACATTCCAACTAGAGATTATGAAAGGCGATATCTGCCATCTGCATATATTAACACAATAAAAAAGAAAATGATTCACCCGAATGCGATTGTATACACACATACTGAGATTCACATACCTAAAGCTTCTTTAAAAGTACTTTATCTTGTGTCATTAAATTATCAATAATCAAATTCCAACTTTGTAATGCAACTGGACTCATTTGAAAGAATACTGGTTCATAGAATAAATCAAGAACATCACGACGCCATGATTTTCGTGTGTATTGATAACTACTGATAGATGCAATCAGTTTACTAGCCACAGTGAAATGATCAGAATTGCTTAACCTAAATAGGAAGGGAAAATATAGAATGATTCAAAAAGAATAAACATGAAAGGATAATATAGATAAATACAATTTTTGAAAAGACTTGAAAACCTCTAACTAACTAAAATGGTATTGTGAACTTGAGTCTTAGTTGGTAATTACATCCCCATTGCATCTTTCTGAATCATCAACTATGAAACGAATGATCATTTACTTCTATTTTTACTATCTCAAAGTAATACAGAGAATCAACTAGTTGATGTTTCGTTAACGTATAATCGACTTTAGTAACGGTGACGTATGCAAAACGCAAATTTAAGCCAACCTATTCCACATCATTAAGTGCAGCTGACCATAAGACCAATCTTATGACAAGTTAATCGCTCATTTGACGATCTGAAAGAGTGATGAATGTTGAGATAGTCGAGTATTTGATGTCTTCTGATATCGATCTTCGAAAGTAAAGATGCACTCAGGATGTCAAACACTCTACTGATATCTTAAGTAATATTCCTTAAAGAAAGTTAACTGGTCTATTTGTAATACATGCAAACCAACTACATGTTGGAGATTATCCTACCATAGCTGATCTGGATATATGGAGGGATCAAGGTTAGGTAATTCATTTTAGTACAGTTCTCGAGCATAATTACTTTTCATTTTATCAACGGGAAATATTCAGTAAAAAGCTTTTCAAGCCTATCCAAACAACGACGACGTGGGAACTTGGGCGAAAAAAAATAAACAAAGTTTACTGAATTCATTTTCCACAGATAGGTAACTCAACAACCTTCAGCAAATACTTTCACCAGGTAACTAGCTCAGACCTGTGGTGTAAAGTCTCCCCGCAATGTTGGTAAATGGAATGGGGTTCAAACTGGTGCATCAGTAGTAGTACTGGTCATGCATCGAACAATAAAAGGCATGGATAAAAAATTTATACAAAAACTTTAATATCTTTACATATGATTTACTTTTATTTATGTGATTACTGCAAACCAGCCTGCGTACTTTTCGATAGAACAGTAATTCGTGCAAAAAATCAATCACATTCATAATGAATACTTACAACATTTATGAAAATAAACCGACTAGTTGTAGTGAACTGAGAAGACAACAAATCGTACTCCTCAGTATGACCATAAGAAGAAAACAAGTTGAAACTTGATCGTGTAGAAAAATGTGGGCATTGGGTAAATGATATTCATTAATTTGGTATTTGTATTGCTCAACACATGTAAAACAAAATAAATTTGTTTCAATTGACGTTTCGCTATTTAGTGCTAATAGCTTTATCAAAGTTACTATTATTATTATTTATTATTATTATTATTATTTTCTCTTAGGTTCCTAGTGGAACATAGGGCTACAGTAACACGCCTCCATTGCACTCTCCCATCTACAGTCTTTTCAATCTGGCGACACCCATTACCCACAAGCTGCCATTTATTCCTCACACCAACTCCTCCAAGTCACTCTCACCTCGGACGCTTAACTCGTCGTTTCCCATATGGGTTCTAGTTGAAGGCCTGGCCTGATGCATGATGTCCCCAGTCGGCCTTCTCAGTGCATTCCCAACCCATCTCAACGTCCACTTTCTTCTGCATATTTGTTGCGTGATAAGTTGTTGGTCGGTTGGTTCGTTGCCTGCCAGCCAGCCAGCCAGCCAGAGTTCCTTGTTGCTTATTCTTATTATTCTGAACATCTCATCAATCTTCAGTATGAAGTGAGCATAGGTGGCAGCTGTTGATGAATGACTATAGTTTGCTGGAAATGCTTTTTATAACGCGCCAAATCTCTAAACCATACAGTAGCACTGACTTGACTGGATTGGTGTTGAAAATCCGGATGTTGTTCACGCTTTATGCTGAGTGCAGTGCAATGCAGTGTAGTAGATCTCCACACTGATTTCAGATGAATTAAAGCTTGTCTTGCTGTCTTTCTGATCCTGGCTTTGACATCCTCGTCTGTGCCGCTTGTAGTTGAAACGATACTGCCTAGGTATCAAAGTTATAGTACACCAGAATTTACAATATCCAAGCTTATATGTGATAACTTGATGAGTGATCTTGTCTATGAATGATTCTGAGTTGTAAGAATTGTAGAATAAAGATGATATCCATATGTAGTGTGTTGTGTGTAAAGAGATTTGTATGTGTGTACATGAGTGTTGATAGATCTTATCTCTTGTATGTTGGTTATGTCAGTATGTGGGGGTGGGTGGGTTGAGATCACGTCAAACTACGTGTTGAAGAGAGCATACGCTATGAAAATGAAAGAGCTAGAAAATTAAAATATGTTAACAAGATACTTAAAGTAAGTAATTATCTGGTAAGTAATATTCACAAAAGAGAAAATAATATTAAGTTAGATTGTAGAACTACTCCTAAATCATGGGCTTTAAAAATAGTCATCCCATACAGATCATACGCCTAGGATGAAATTAGGAGAGTGTTCAACAAATCCAACATCAAACACATTTTAGAGTATATTAGTCCATTCGAAGGACAAGATCCCTTTGGATTCATAATTTAATTGTGTATATAACACATAAAATGCTCAAACTGCGATGCACTATGCATAAAACAAACTTCCTATGAAGTAAAAAAGAATTACAAGAAATAAACACCGAAAAGCTTTTACTCGACTCCCTTAGAAATCCAATAGAGCTGAACAAGCTTATAAAAATACTTCATAAGATCAACTTTAACAACAAACAGAAGTTATAGGGAACATTTTATAGTAAAATCTCTTCATATCAGGTGAAATCAAAATCTTCTAAATAGGAATGAGGGAGTAAAACGTAGTTAGACCTGATCTCAATCCACCCCCGCACATACTGACATAACACGCACACACACACATACAGAGCATATGGATATCATCTTCATTCTACAATTCTGACAACGCAGAATCATTCATAGACAAGAACACTTATCGAGTTATCACATATAAGCTTGGATATCATAAATCCCAGTTTACTATAAACTTTGCTAAACCTATTAACACTAAATTCAAACAAAATTATATCAATACTTAGCATCTTCTCAGTGTCCTTCAAGAGAAGAAACACGCACACACACTTTTATTCTTATCACTATAGCTAGGGGAATGATGAAACAGTCAGTGTGTTCTATTCATACTCTAATATTATTATTGTTATTATTATTATTTGTCCCTTGGGTTTCTAGTGGAACATAGGGCTTCAGTAGCACATCTCCAATGCACTCTGTTCTCTCCAGTCTTTTCAACCTGGCGCCGCGACTGCCCACAAGCTCTCATTTCCTCCTCGCAACATCTCTTCCATGTCACACTCACCTCGAGCGCCCAACTCGTCGTTTCCCATATGGGTTCCACTCGAGTGCTTGGGCTGGTACATGATGTTTCCAGTCGGCCTTCTCAGTGCATTCCCAACCCATCTCAACGTCCACTTTCTTCTGCATATTTGTTGCGTGATAAGTTGTTGGTCGGTTGGTTCGTTGCCTGCCAGCCAGCCAGCCAGCCAACCAGCCAGAGTTCCTCGTTGCTTATTCTTATTATTCTGACCATCTTATCAATCTTCAGTATCGAGTGAGCATAGGTGGCAGCTGTTGATGAATGTCTATAGTTTGTTGGAAATGCTTTTTGTAACGCGCCAAGTCTCTAAACCATACAGCAGCCCTCACTTGACTGGATTGGTGTTAAAAAACCAGATCTTGTTCCAAATGCTGGGTGCAGAAGATCTCAACATTATCATATAACCAAGTATTAATAATAAACTTCAAATTAGATATTTACACATAAAAATTATTATTGTCTATTTGATAATAAAAGTATATTATAATGAACATACATTCGAACTCGAAGATAAGGGAAAATATTGTACAAGATATTGTTTAAAAATGTTGATACACGATCTTTTTCATCACTTCTATACACCAAGTCTAAAAATATTGCCATATTCTAAACATGGAAAGAAGAAAAACAAATAAATATATACAAAAAAGAAGTTTAAAAATAAAGAAAAATATCTGCTTAATAATCAAAATTAAACTTGAAAATTTTAATAGACTCTAATCGTATTATGATTCTTCAATAAGATATATCACAATAAAATAGTATTATCCCTTGGATATTGGTATTTTGTACACAATCTATTATTCATAGTCAATAGTAACATTTTCGATATTCAATAAAGATATAGGATGTCAAATGATTTCATATACTTTGCCAAACTTGGTTATTTTTTATTGAAGATTATTAGCACCTGGTTAAATTATGAAATGAGGATGACATAACGGAAATATATCAATTGATAAGACTGTCATTATGTTGATAGGCTAGAAATAGATTTGTAAAAGCTAAGTGTCTTGAATGCTAGAAAACTCCTGAAATCAGGAAAACCAGCGGGACCAGATGAAATTCCTTCACATTCTCCTACCACTACTGCAGAAGGTTTAGAAGGAAGGAAAGGTAGCTGCCAATTGATTGGAAAAAAGGGCTACCTTGTCAAACTTCCAAAGAAGGGATACCGAAACCTTTGTAAGAACTGGCGAGGAATCATGTTCCTGTCAGCTACAAGCAAAATATTATGCCGCATCAACCTGGAAAGACTACGACTGAAACGGGTTGGCTGGCTTCAAGAAGAACAAATCATGTGCCGATCAAATTGCAAAGCTACGCATCATCACTGAACAGAGTACAGAATGGCAGTCAACTCAATTCAATACCTCAACTTCATCGACTTTGAAAAAGCCTTCGACAGCGTCCACCAACAAGTAATTTGGCAGACTGATGCTTCAAAACTACACAGTGCCACAAACTTTTATCAATCTCATTCAACAACTATATGAAAACGCCACATACCAAGTGATCCACAATGGAAAGCTCAGTGACCCCTTTAAAGTGAAGACAGAAGTAAGACAAGACAACTTACTATCACCTATGATCTTCCTGATTGTGGTGGACTGGATCATGTAGCGAAAAGGGAGGAGTGAGGAGAGGGGCATACGCTGTTTGACCAATGCGATGAAAAGACTCCAGAAGAAGATTTGGATTTCGCCGATGATCAGTTATGTCTAATGTCTTGTTGCATAAAGTCGAAGATCTACAGGCGAAAACTAACAAGTTGGCAGAACAGGCTAGGCAGGGCAGCCAAGGAAGACGATACTGCCTTCAGGTGAAGGCAGAGAACACAGAGGTGATGAAGATACCCAACTAACAACAACAAGCACCAATCACCATCAACAGGAGAAACTTAAAGGAAGTTGCCTCTTTCACCTACCTCGGCAGCATCGTTTCAAAAACAGGCAGCACAAACCAGGATGTCAAAACCAGCATCGGAAAGATAGCAAGACAAGCTTTAATTCATCCAAAATCAGTGTGGAGATCTACTACACTGCATTGCACTGCACTCAGCATAAAGCGTGAACAACATCCGGATTTTCAACACCAATCCAGTCAAGTCAGGGCTGCTGTATGGTTTAGAGACTTGGCGCGTTATAAAAAGCATTTCCAGCAAACTATAGTCATTCATCAACAGCTGCCACCTACGCTCACTTCATACTGAAGATTGATAAGATGGTCAGAATAATAAGAATAAGCAACGAGGAACTCTGGCTGGCTGGCTGGCTGGCTGGCTGGCTGGCTGGCTGGCTGGCTGGCTGGCTGGCTGGCTGGCTGGCTGGCTGGCTGGCTGGCTGGCTGGCTGGCTGGCTGGCTGGCTGGCTGGCTGGCTGGCTGGCTGGCTGGCTGGCTGGCTGGCTGGCTGGCAACGAACTAACCGACCAACAACTTATCACCTAACAAATATGCAGAAGAAAGTGGACGTTGAGATGGGTTGGGAATGCACTGAGAAGGCCGACTGGACATCATGTACCAGCCCAAGCACTCGAGTGGAACCCATATGGGAAACGACGAGTTGGGCGCTCGAGGTGAGTGTGACATGGAAGAGATGTTGCGAGGAGGAAATGAGAGCTTGTGGGCAGTCGCGGCGCCAGGTTGAAAAGACTGGAGAGAACAGAGTGCATTGGAGATGTGCTACTGAAGCCCTATGTTCCACTAGGAACCCAAGGGACTAATAATAATAGTAATAAGTGTAATCTAACCAAGATTCTAGGCTTCAACATACTTTGTGTCGTCTGTGTTACCTCTACTCCTTGCTTTCTATTATTTGAAAAGATTATTATTAGATGAATATAGTCTTAACTTCCTACCTTACTTGTCACAAATTTTATGTAAATTTGTTGATATCAAGAAGTATAGCAGCTTGAATCGACAGACCACTACTATACCAGGTCCCAAGATATTTATTTCTAGAAAAATGAATAAACTCTGAAGCCACAAAAACTGAATAACTTGAATTATCACATCCAACCTCTTCACACTATTTAAACTGTGTTACAGCGAGTACTTCATGCTTACCAATTAAGGGTGAATATTAGGCTGTAAAGCTCAGTGACGCCTTTGTAGTGAACACTGGAGTAAGACAAGGCTGCCACCTAGTATCACCGATCATCTTATTGATTGTGGTCGACTGAATCATGCAGGAAACCATGAGGAGCGAGAAGATGGGCATACGCTGACTGGATCGATGAAAAGACCCTAGAAGATATGGATTTTGAGTGGAATCCAAAGGGGAAACGATAAGTTGGGCGTCCGAGGTGAGGGTGACATGGAGGAGTTGGTGTCAGAAAGAAACGAAAGCTTGTGGACGTCGTGGAGGCAGATTCAAGAGACTGTAGATAAGAGAGTGCAATGGAGACGTGCTACTGAAGCCCTATGTTCAACTAGGAATCCGAGGGACAAATAATATAATAATAATAAAATGTTAAGCTGCAATCACATAAAGATATCTGGAGCCATTTTAACGTAATGATGAATACTTTTTCTTGTGGATGGATGAGTCAACACTACGGTTCTTCAGAGCTAAAACTGAATGTTAGTAACTCAATTTTAGACAGATGCTGGTTCAGTATGTCGATATACACAAACACATATAATCGATGCTTATGCTTGGTGAAATACCAAGTGGTTGAAGTTGGTGACGAGTGACTTTTGGTTTGAAATCGATACCACGCTTGAAGTACCCCTCAATAAAAACGTGACACCAATATTAGACGAAGAAACATGTCCATCGAGTTATAGAGGAAAACATAGATAATTCAAATCTCTGAAGAAGACATTCTTCTCTGCGAAGCTGAAGATCAGCTTCTCTAATCAGTAATCGGTTCTTAAGCGCGTTAAGAACAAATTACCTCATTGGGCCACCTCAATATGTGTCTACAAATTTACTCGCTACTGTGGAGCTAGTTATATTCGCCACACAAAGCGAGCACTTTACAAAAACATCTCAGAAAACTATCCTATATAGTTCTCAAGAGGAGAATGTAAATCAATTAACAGTTCAATACTTGAAAATTTGGTCAACTGTGGGTATATAGATCCACTGGTGTCCTCCTTCGGTGTCATTTAAATGATCAAAGAGGATAACTCAAAAGGAGTACACTTTTGACAGTTGGGCACGGTAGATGCACTGACAATTCACCAATCCAAAAGTATGTTCAATCTCTTATCTTATCATGGTCATAATACTTCCACAGTTTTTTGGTTTCATTACAAGATAGGCTTTCATCAGCCTGAAACCAGTGTGGAGATCTGCACTCAGCATAAAGTGTGAACAACATCCGGATTTTTAACACCAACGTCAAATCAGTGCTTCTGTAGGGCTCAGAGACTTGGCGCGTTACGAAAAGCACTTCCAACAAACTACAGATATTCATCAACAACTGCCACCTACGCTGGCTCGCTACTGAAGATCAGATGGATTGCCAGAACAATGAGAATGAGCAACAACAAACTCTGGCCTGCTAACGAACTAACCAAGAACCTATCACTCAACAAATATGCAGTGGAAGGAAGTGGAGATGGATTGGATTGGGCATTCACTGAGAAGGCCGACTGGGGACATCACGCATCAGGCCAGGCCAGGCAAGGCCAGACCGTGGAGTGGAGTGGAGTGGAAGCCAGATGGGAAGCGACGAGTTAGACTTGTGAGGTGAGGGTGACATGGAGGAGATCGTGTGAGGAATAAATGAGAGGTTGTGGGCTGTCGTGGAACCAGGTTGAAAGAGAAGATTGCAGAGAATAGAGTAGAATGGAGACGTGCTACTGAAGCCCTATGTTCCATTAGGAACCCAATGGATAAATAATAAATAATAAGGGAGTTTTCTATTATCAACTTCATTTAAACCCTTGTTTCTTTCTTCACCTTCTTTATATGTATAAAGTGGACACTCGATCTTCGCATTTCATATCTACCAAAAAAATCTCACTTTGTCAAACTCCTTACCTTTGTCATTATTCTTAATGTCCGAAAGATTATTACGTAAATACTTCCTATTCTTGATTTCGGCTTTTTAGCTCTAGCGTATTCATGCGATTATACCCTATTGTTTAACAATAAACTGTTACATGTTTACGATACACATGAATACGATTGGATAACTTCAGGAATTAAAATCGTCGAATGAGAGAATTTTTCTCGTTGAATTATCTCTTCTTTTCTCTATGACAGCAACACTTTAAGCAATATCCACAGTAAGATTCACTTCAAAATCGGGCTGACACAAAGATCTGTTGTGCGCATCTCTACAAATATTCCTCAATTGATGATATACATTTTATAAATGAAAATTATGTAAGTAAAGAAGATAATAGGGTACTTTTTTATTTCAAAATTGATGTACCATTAGTGAATGTAGACCGTTTTATGTACGGCATCAATTGCAAGATAGGCGGAGCCAATAGTAACTCTTATGTCTCCAATGCCAATTAGGACGGTTTCGGAACTTAAATAAAGTATGCTGATTGGTCAATACACGCTCAAATGTATCATTCAGAGTTCTTCATATTTGCAGTAATTTTTTCATTCAATCTTCCAATCAATCCCTTCCTGGACTCTCTTAATACGTAAACCAATAAATAATTGAAAACACTTCAAACAATTTAGACAATAAAAGTAACAGTGATATTTCCGTTACGCCTACCGTTCGGTAGTTCACCCTATAAAAAATAAGTGTGAGTACTTGAATGAGACTATATTGAAAATAAGATATTTAGTGTTGGAAAATTTACGGTTTGTGGAGAGATATAATAGCCGGAACTAAGTATCCTCTGTATCTAGTAGTGTGCTTCATTCCCCCCCCCCTCCCTTTGTATCTTAAGGTTTCCATCAACAAAAACATAATTTGTCGACAGTGTGTGGTTAGAGTTTTGATCACTAAGGTTATCCTCTCAAGTGTATTTCTGAACAATATCATGAATAAAAGCTTCGAAAGTCATCAGTTATCCAGCTAGATCTCTTTGCATATTTAAAAAAGATCCAAACATAGGACCCTCGTAGCGTTGACAAGTTTTAATACAAGTGGAAATTATATTCACCCTACAATTGTGCCATTTCTCATGATATATCAACCAAAACTTATTCACGTAAAGGTTGAATTCCAACGGACAAATTACATTTTCAGAATTCGTCTACTTTAAGTAGTATGATTTATTGTGTGACATTTTTTTTACACATCAGTCAATTCTAACATGCATCGAGTAAATAGAAAGGGAAAAAATGAAAGGGATTGGTATTATTAGGTTAAACAAAAAAAAGACGTGGTTTACATCAGAGAAAGCCTACCTCTGTTAGTAGCTCGATAGCTTGTATTGTAACATCATTACGCATTCGGATACGAGTCACTTCATTTGTAAACAAATTCAGTGAAGCTGGATGTAAGACCAAATAAAAAAAGAAGGTTAAAATTCATTTTATGACGAAATTAACAGACATTTCTAGACACGTACGCCGTCTAGAGCTATATTTCATTAGTTCATGATACTTGTGCATGAGATAGTTGAAAAAGAAGACTAGACACTCGGGAGGATATGTTTGAAGTTTGATGGAATTGTTGCAGATGCATGCACACCTTATCTTCGCTGAAGTTCCAATATCATCGATATTCATTCACTTCATACAACTTTGCTTACGGACAATGATGTAATGAATGTCACTTTTTTCTGCTTTTCTTCGAGCAATCACCGCAGTGTATTGATTTGAAGAATGATAATTTGGAGCGACATATAACTAATTACCCATGATCTCATAATGCAAATGTCTGAAATTTTGTCAGAAATCAAAAAAAAATTACATTGTCTGACTTGTTCTCAATGAAAAAACAACCATTATAATTGAATAATAGAGACGGTTTGTAAATGATGTGCAAGTTGCTTATTCAGTTTTAAAGTATATTCAAGGTGATTATAAATATTCAGGCCATAATTTTTACGAATGTCCTGAAAGAAGTTGAGCAGCGAGTCAGGTTGATTCACTATATAAGTAACTTTATATATAATCCCAGCGGGTTTACAAAATCGAAAACAAGACTTTTCTGAACGTTTCAATGTGTATGCCACACCTTCTTGTTTTCGATTTTCTAAACACGCTGGGATTATATAAAAGGTTACCTATATATTCAGGGTGACCAGAAGAAAACATTTACATTAAAAAGGGAGAAACTAGCTTTCACACATATCAATGAAAGCATCTAAAATAGTAGAGAATTGGTAAACTGGTATCACTGATGTGTAGTATTGTTTGAGGATGAAAAGAAACATTTGGTCTCATATACCATTGGTAGACAGCTAGACAGTTAATTTTCTCCACCTTATAATTAAAAACAAGTCAGGTTAACCATCTGAGATAGCCATAGTTTATTAGACTTGTATTATCGATACTGGGTAATGACTGAAGGTGACATACGTACTGCAGGCCAACAATAGCTGTGTTTGTTGACATTAGGGCTACCTTCGATATGTTGAACAGAGATGTACTCCGGAATTGTTACCATCTTGAAAGCCCTACATAAAAACACCTTAAGCATAGTGAGAGCATTCAACCACCTGTATCCACTGCTTCCAATCAGCAGTACGACTAGGCAGCGTTACCCGATTTTTCTATTCCTCTTTAACTTTACCATCGATGACATTCCTGAGACAGCTCTAAAGAAGATGCGTGATGGTAGTGTACATCTACTACCCGGAGAATGGCTATTCGACATTCAATATGCAGACGATATCATCTTACTGTGCAAAAACACACAGGCTACTCGAGTAGCACTTAATCATTTAGCGACTAGTTTCCGTAATTATTTAGGCGCTTTGGATATCGAAAGCCCGAGTGAAATAAACCAATCTGGGGTACCTTTGGCGCCATCACAACGTTAGTCTGACAGCATAACGTCGGATTTACAACGCTTCTCTGCAAGCAGCTCTGTTCTGTGAAACCTAGCATCTCCTCTTCGAGCTGAGGACGTGAGACGACTCTACGTGTTCCATCATCGTTGTCTCTGTAGAATTGCTCGCATTCGGTGGAAACACCATGTAAGTAATTCTGAGGTACGACAGCGTGTGTTCCGGCATGATGAAGGTAGTCACTCAGCAAGTTCAGTCATCTGGAAACACCAGCTTTGGTGGCTTGGACATGTGTTACGCATGTCATCTCAAAGGCTTCCATACCATTCATTGTTTGCTAGACCTGAGACTGGATCGAAGAAGCGGAAGGGTGGTCGATGTATGACAACACCGTGGGATGAAGGATACTTGTATCGGGTTAGCATCTGTTGGTCCAACATGATTCCCTGGGTGGGGTCCGATAGATCATACAACTTAGTGGCTTCAGATGTTATCAAATACAGCTCAGAATCGAAACCAGTGGCGGTCATGCTGTAGCTCCCTCCTATTTCTGCTGAAAAGTATTGAATGTTTTGTTTCGAATGTACCTCACTGGACGGCTTTTCTAATCGTTTTATTTTTATTTTATTTTTATCCACTTCCCTTTGGTTTATGCCTTCATAATGCTGTTATATTATTTTGTGTGGTGTATTTCTTGGCGCTCAAGCAGTACTATGTTTGTGTTCTAATAATGATGATACATGGAAATACGAACCGCGGCAAGACTCGAGGTAGCGATTTCTGAGTTACCGGCTCGGTGCGTAACCAGTTGCCGACCATGTCCTAATTTCACACCAGTATGAGGAAAGTTTGGTTACGAAGTGGATGGATCTACACATACACTTGTAACGCCATCATTCACGAGCCAAAATTATGGAGAATCGTGATTACTGCTTCATTCATACATACTACTAAATGAACTAAGGTGGTGGAAAATAAAAAAATGTCTAAAATAACATTCCACACAAATTATCTACAATACAAATAATGCAGTTGTGCTTGTAGCTCACGTAGACAATTTTGGTTGTGATATATTCTCTAGGCTGGGTGGGTTCATTGGTGAAGCTTTCACTGCCTTCCTAGACAAAACCATCAGCATTAACTTGAATCATTCAGTACCTTGACCTGACAAAGTAGTATATGGTTGGTAATTTTCCTTGAATGTTGTGTCACTGACTAGGGAGATTTTCCTACTGACCGTTGCTTTGTCTGAAATGTGACCTGGTAATTGTTTATCATCTTTACTATTGTTTCGAAAGATTCGGTTTATGTATGTGTTGATTGGTGAATGACTTAAATACCGAGCTTCTAGAAATTCTCTAGTATTCTTTGTGTTTCCTTTTTACGATATAGCTAAATTTTCAAAATCGAATTCATGTCCATAGTTGTCTATATGCATCGACATAAGCGATGGAGAATATCATGACATGTTTAGCAGTCAATCAATATTCATATAAACAAATCCAAAGAGGGTGACCACTTTGTTCAATGTATAACTGGTAGCAGTTGATTTTGTAGATGATATTTGGCTCGTGTTCCAAGGTCAATTAGAATTCAAAAGACGAAATAGACATACATTCAATCTATCAACCAACCAACAATAGGAAAATTTGTGCAGTCAATGATACATCAGTTAACGGAATTTACCACTTCATCAGGTCAAGCTACTTATTCATTCACGAAGAAATCCTGTTAGCTCACTTCACATTCAAGCTAATATTGATATCGTTTAGGAAAACAATAAAAGTTTCATACAACTAACGTCTTGAAAAACAAATCATGAAATTCGAAATTATCGAAATCTACCACTCAGTAAACCAAATGCACGTTCATCCTGAACACTATACAGCTACTAAAAACCGGGAAAGCAGTAGAAGCAGGTGAAATTCCACAAGAAGCACTGAAAACAGACGTAAGGACAACATCGAGCATGTTCACACCACTATTGTAGAAGGTTTGGAAGAAAGGAAAGGTACCTCCGAAATGGAAGATGGGCTACCTTCTCAAACTCCCAAACAAGGGAGACCTAAGTCTTTGCAAGAACAAGAACTGGCACGGAATCATGCTCCTGTCCACCCCAGGCAAAATGTTGAGCCTCATCATCCTGGAGAGACTAAAAATGCTCTGCATTCAAAATTACGACCGGAACAGGCTAGCTGGCTGGCTTCAGGAAGAACAAATCATGTGCGGATAAAATCGCAACGCTACGCTATGCATCATCATGGAACACAGCATAGAATGTCAGTCAACTTCATCGACTTTCAAAAGGCCTTCCTTGGATAGCGTCGACCGAGAAGTAATTTGGCAGGCAACTGCTTCAAAACTACACTCTTCGTGCCACAATCCTGCATCAACCTCATTCAACACCAATATTGTATATGATGCTACATGCCGAGTGATTCCCAATGGAAAGCTCAGTCATGCCTTTGAAGTGAAGACAAGAGTAAGACAAGAACGCCGCCAAACAACAACAACAACAAAAACCAATCACCATCAATGGGAGAAATCTCTATCACCTATCTACCTAGGTAGCATCGTGTCAACTACGGGCAGTGACGGTACAGATGAGGATGTCATAGCCAGTTAGGATCAAAAAAGCAACACAGGCTTTCATTAATCTCAAATCAGTGTGGAGATCTATTGCTCTGCATTGCACTGCACTCAGCATAAAGCGTGAACAACATCCGGATTTTCAACACCAATGTCAGACAAGTCAGTACTCATATATGATAGTTGAGAGACTTGGTGCGTTACGAAAAGCATTTCCAACAAACTACAGACATTCATCAACAGCTGCCGTTTACGCTTACTCGATACTGAAGATCGATCAGATGGTCAGAATAATAAGAATAAGCATGCGGGAACTCTGGCTAACTGGCAATGAACCAACCAACAACCTGTTGTTCAACAAGTATGCAGAAGAAAGTGGAGATGGATTGGACTGGACATACATTGAGAAGACGGTTAGGAGACATGACGCGTCAGGCCAGGCCTTCGACTGGAACCCAAAGAGGAAACGATGAGTTGGGCGTCCGAGGTGAGGGTCACATGGAGGAGTTAGTGTTAGGAAGAAATGAAAGGTTGCAGGCAGTGGTGGAGCCAGGTTGAAAAGACTGGAGAGAAGAGAGCGAAATGGCGAAGTGAAACCCTATGTTTCACTATGAACCCAAAGGACAAATAACAACAATAAGGATGGGTGGAATAGAGTTCGAATCCACCTCATCGACTTGGTTGACCATTTCAAGTATTTATCTATTTAGAAAATATTAAGGAATAGTGAATACACGTTTCTAACTTACAATGACGTGATTTTGACCGACACAAGGATGAGGAAGATAATGGTAATGTTGAATTATAAAAATTATCATAAAATAATCCCTTAGTAGAACAACCTGTATCATTACTGGACACACAATTAGTACCATTCGATTGTTGCGTTGTACATGAATACGAATTAGTTAGACTAGATGTAGTTCCAATTCGATCAGATTTAAGATTTGTTTCATACATTTCAGAGCCAGACAGAGATATACGATCCACTAAATCAACAGAATTTGACGATGGTATTGAATTCGTTGTTGTACTGTTAAGATCACCATCTATTTGACGAACTTGTAGTGTTTTACGAAACCAAGATGGTTGATGCAAAGCAGATGCAGCGATAGATGCTGTAGCTTCAAGAAGTCGATGACACAATTCCTGAATAATACATGAAGGAGAAACAAAGTAAGGAATGATTGATTATTTGCACTTTATTTGTGCAAAAGGATGTCTTTAAAACATCTCATACTGCAATCGAAAGAGAAAGGAGGATAGGCAAACAGACACGGATGTAATAAGATCCCACACAAGAGATGTCAACTTACAGTAGAATCATACTTAGTACATAGAAGACACACACACACACACACACAAAATTTACATAACAATGCATAGATCAATGCGTTACAATTTCATATGTGAACTACTGAGCTACAGAACAAATAACAATCTGATGTTTCCAATATTTTTTGAAAGTCTCACCTTCAAAAAGATTAAGAAATGCTTGGTGAATATTGTTATAATGTGGAATAAGATTACCGAAATCCTAATCAGAAATTGTTAATCCCTGAAACATTTTTCAACCAATCATTTTGCTCCGAAGTTTCAAGAGAAAGCATATGAATCGAATGGGTTGAAGTAACAAAAATTAATCGGATAATCGAATCCAGAAAAGTCTGGAAATAGCCAAGGCCATTATAAATATATTTAAACCCTTATATTTGGTACATATTTTTAACTTTGCAATACACCATCTGTTATAATACCACCTTTCCTGCTACCGAGAAACTGAGAGACCATCAAGAGGCGGAATTTTAGGTTATATCAAGTAGTCGCTACATAGATATAAACAAGTAGCGACAAGGATATAACGAATATGAACATGTTGATCAAGGTTTTTCAAACGTTTAGCTCCGTGTCTATGAGAAATCAACTTCTTAATGTAGATGAAAAAAAAATCCTACATACAAGTATAATAAAAAGTTCAGTTAGTTTAAAGTGAAATAAAAATGTGATCAGCAGTCAGACTTCGTAGCTCAGTTGGCAGAGTATCAAGCCGAAACCCGATGGTGGCTGGTTTGTATTCGGTCGCGGTCCTAATTTTAATCTCACCTACAATCATTATACCCAGCATAAACTGCTTAACGTTACACTAGAATATACACATGTTGAATCATGCCAACATTTAACGTTATTCGACATTGGAAACCACTACATCGTACACATAGTTTGGGGTTGTACTTCAAACACAGTTTATCTCAACAATCTGTAGCTTAGTAGTGTGTTACAAAACAATCTTGAAAGTCTATAGTACCATCACTCATATTAAGTACATCAAGATGAAAGATAAGAAAAGAAAATGTAATCAAAAGTCATAGACGGTCATAAAAGAACAAAGTGAGGATGATAAAAACAACCAACGAAATATGATGACTACAACGAAGATCGTGTACGGATGCATTTATGTCAATCAGATTGATTCTCAGCCACATCAAATTTTCTCAGGTGACTAAAATCAAGAGATGTTATGAAATGATGCTGTTTTAGTCATAAGTCTTTGACCTTTCTCCAATCTAAACCTACTTCAGCTAACATTGGATAACTGGGTAGCCAAGTGTAAAAGCGTATTCCAGTCACCTCAACTGGCTAACATCTTTTCTTCAAGACACTAGGTCCTACTTCGATGTTATAAAGGTGATTGTTGTAATGCTACAAAGACAACAGTGGATGACCACATGTTTTCCATATGTGACAGCTTGCTTCACAACCATATAGTAGGACAGAGCGAACCTGCTGTGACGTAAAGTAGTTACACACCATCGGATATCTGGCCAGTAAGTTATCCTACTATGTAAAAATGTGTATGAATATATATCGATTTTTTCTTAGTGTAATCGTCCTTTGAGTCTGATTAATCTGGAAACGGCTAAACACCAAAGAAGAAGAGAAAGCAGTAGAGAGTACAGAGGCAGTATATAAAAAGAATTCCCAGACAGAAAAAGACAAAGTTATAAGATGACTTCAATTATGAAGTTATTATCTAGACATGTTGTTGTTAACACGATTTATCCGCCAAGTATATGAGTGGTGGTACAACGGTGCAGATGACTGATAGACAAAGAATACTAGGTGATGATTGAAGGTGAAATGAAAATTTGGACAGCGGTTGGATTCGAACCAGCGACCACCAGGTTTCCGGTCCAATCTCTACCAATTCATCTATGAAATCCGACTGGTGACCAGATTTTTATTTCACTTCAATCACAAGCGAAATTTTGTCCGACTACCACGTGAATTTGTGACGCGTTACTATCATTTGATTGTATTCATACTGGCTGCCTAGTTGGACCTCGTAGGTCAGTTGGTAGAGCATTGAGCTGGAAACCCAGTGGCCTATGGTTCAAATCCAGCCGCGGTCCAAGTACTCATTTCACCTTCAATCACCGCCAAACCAAGGCTCAGATAGTTAAAATGATAGACGAAGAATAGTTGACAAGTCTCAGCTACGTAATATCTCATGCTTATTATTAGGACTGTAGGTTCCAAAGTTTCATACAACTGAATGTTTACAGTTAATTAAGTACAGTAATCACTTCACAAATGGCCCAGATTGGTAAACGTCATATTAATCGTGTGAAGATATCTTACATCTGGATGACACAGATGATTTACCATACAACTACATTAACGTACCAACTTTTCAACTATTAATTGATAAGAAATACAAGGGACTCTGTGCAGTTACTGTATCTACGTATACAATAAGACATATTACTAGCATACACTACATAAACATTTGAACAGTAAAAACAGAATTTGTGTCTATGGTCACCATTCGTTTTAGACAATAAAGGCTATAGGAGGTGAGTTACGTTGCTATTAATCTCTGTTTCATTGTTCAGCTGGTTAACTGATAAAAGATAACATCTCAACTTTATCAACCGACGATGACAAATATTTCTAATGATACTACGAGAAGATTGAAGGTGAAATGAAAAGTTGGACCGCGGATGGATTCGGACCAGCAACAACTGAATTTCTGTCCCGGTGCTCTACCAACTGACCTACGCGGTTGTCAAAATGATAATCAATATTTCAAAGATAGACTATTCATTTACTCAGGCTATCACTATGACAACACAAGTAATTCGTATAAGGATTCATTTAGCATACCATACGTAACTATCAAAAAACAAGTTATCACCTGAACTAGATGAGAACTTGTTGAGTAATACGTTGCCCCACTCCAAAACAACACAGAAAGAGGAAATAAACAGAAAGACATTGAAGTAACCAAGAATGGGGATGGAGGGGAAATAAAATGAATAAACAATGGTTGATGAAACGTTTAAAACTCTAAAGGTGGCAAAGAGTAAATGCAACTAAGCCTCCATTATCGATTTTGACCTGTTATTTGAGACTTTCAAAAAGTGATTCCTGATGTCTTGAGGATCCCCAGTAGAGCAGCTTATACGATTGGCACCAACAATCAGATACTTAAAGGATTGGTTTCATAAGTAAGTCTAGTTAGGACTCTTACATTTCTTTCCTTCTAATCTTACGTCAGCATGGAGGCATACGGTAGCTCATCACACGTGAAGTGTATTGCCGATCAACAGACTTGCTTTTTATCATCTATAACAGTATACACAACACTCCATTATACTTTGGATGAACTCTGAAGACGTAAATAATCACAGAACTATAAACTTCTCTTATTTTGCATGTTCAATGATCGTATCTCCTAAATGTTTGTGTGCATATGTGTTTATGTATGGATGTTAGTGAGTACAGAACATAGAAGAACAGCGAACGACTGAGTAATAAACTCGATGTTTTACTCTACTTACCAGTATCAAAGAAGTTTGAAGATTAACAAATAAGAAAGAGGATTCGTCATTAGAGACACACACACACAAAGTTTAGTGTGAGCATATAGAATAAGATGCGGATTTTCAAAACCAACGTCAAATCAGTGCTTCTGTAGGGCTCAGAGACTTGGCGCGTTACAAAAAGCATTTACAACAAACTACTGATATTCATCAACAACTGCCACCTACGCTGGCTCGCTACTGAAGATCAGATGGATTGCCAGAACAATGAGAATGAGCAACAACAAACTCTGGCCTGCTAACGAATTAACCAAGAACCTTTCACTCAACAAATATGCAGTGGAAGGAAGTGGAGATGGATTGGATTGGGCATTCACTGAGAAGGCCGACTGGGGACATCACGCATCAGGTCAGGCCGTGGAGTGGAACCCCGATGGGAAGGGAAGAGTTAGACTTGTGAGGTGAGGGTGACATGGAGAGATCGTGTGAGGAATAAATGAGAGGTTGTGGGCTGTCGTGGAGCCAGGTTGAAAGAGAAGATTGCAGAGAATAGAGTGGAATGGAGATGTGCTAGTGAAGCCCTATGTTCCATTAGGAACCTAAGGGATAAATAATTAAATAATAGTAATAAAAAGTTGAGTATTGAACCGTTGAAAGTATTCAGAGCATATATGTATGCATTTATCTTGAACCTTTGAACAAATAATTTCAAGAGAATAAGTACCTATCTCTACCTGTGAAATCAATAAACCTACGAACTAAGTTCAAGTTGCACATGAATTAAGATTAATGAGCTTATGAAAAATAGTTATTTAGTATAATTTAATGAGGTAAAGTTTTTAAGCTGAAGAACTCATATGATACTAAGATCTCTATATATTGTGTATCATATGAAATCTATTCGATGAACACATGTTTTATAACAGATAAAGTTTATGCATATCATTATATTGTATAGAAAGCATATTATGAAAGAGAATAATAGTGATAACAATAGTAATAAATCACTAACTTGTAATTCTTTTTGCTCCCGTTTATCATCGTTAGCAGTAGCTGTTTCTAACAACTTGCTGAAAATTCTTTCAAGATAAGAAAGAAAAGCAGGTATGAAGATTACTTGGATTAATTATCTAGTTAAAAGTACATTTTAAAATAGTATTAACAATAATTAGTAGTTAGTTTTATAATTAGTCAGTATATTGTAAACATGAGACAGTTAAGTAAGCTATTGAGTAATTCATTCAACAATTTATGTTGATCAGTCAATATCAACATGAAGCTAGATGGATGCTTCTGGATCAATCAGATTGATTCATCTAGAATTTACAACCAATGACTTTGGTTATTATATGCATATCAACCAAGAAATCTTTATTTCTTTGTACGGTTCAAATTGACAGTCAAAAGAATAATGAACTGATATTATGTTTCAGTCTGGTAGCAGGTAACAAAATACAACCAACACACATTTCAATCATCTAAATTGATGAACACGTCGAAGAAGAAGTAACAAGTAGGAGCAGAAAAATCGTTCAATCAAAACTTATGATTATTTTTTATTTATTTGTCCATTGGGTTCCTAATGGAACATAGGGCTTAACTAGCACGTCTCCATTCCACTCTATTCTCTGCAATCTTCTCTTTCAACCTGGTTCCACGACAGCCCACAACCTCTCATTTATTCCTCACATGATCTCCTCCATGTCACCCTCACCTCACAAGTCTAACTCTTCGCTTCCCATCTGGCTTCCACTCCACTCCACTCCACTCCACTCCACTCCACTCCACTCCACGGTCTGGCCTGGCCTGGCCTCACCTGATGCGTGATGCGTGATGTCCCCAGTCGGCCTTCTCAGTGAATGCCCAATCCAATCCATCTCCACTTCCTTCCACTGCATATTTGTTGAGTGATAGGTTCTTATTTAGTTCGTTAGCAGGCCAGAGTTTGTTGTTGCTCATTCTCATTGTTCTGGCCATGCGATCTTCAGTAGCGAGCCAGCGTAGGTGGCAGTTGTTGATGAATATCCGTAGTTTGTTGGAAATGCTTTTTGTAACGCTCCAAGTCTCTGAGCCCTACAGAAACACTAACTTGACGTTGGTGTTAAAAATCCGGATGTTGTTCACACTTTATGCTGAGTGCAGATCTCCACACTGGTTTCAGGCTGATGAAAGCCCGTCTTGCTTTTCCGATTCTGGCTGGCTTTGACATCCTCATCTGTGCTTGTGCCACCTGTAGTTGAAACAGTGCTGCCTAGATAGGGGAAAGAGTCTACTTCCTTTAAAATTCTCGCATTGATAGTGATTGGAGCTTGTTGGTGTTGGTTGGATATCTTCATCACCTCCACCTCTGTTTTCTCTAGGTTCACTTGAAGTCACGGCCTCGCTGCCCTACCTCGCCTGTCAAAGGCCTTTTCAAAGTCGATGAAGTTAAGGTAGAGAATTGAGTTGACTGCCATTCTATACTCTGTTCTATGATGATGCGAAGCGTTACAATTTGATCTGCATATGATTTGTACTTGCTGAATCTAGCCTGTTCCGGTCGTAATTTTGAATCCAGAGCATCTTTCAGTCTCTCAAGGATGATGCGGCATAATATTTTCCTCAAGGTGGACAGGGGCATAATTACGCGCCAGTTCTTGCAAGGACTTAGGTCGTCCTTCTTCGGCAATTTGACAAGGCAGCCCTTTTAGATGATAATATATAACACAAATGTATACGATTTTTCAACAAATATAGAATATAAAGCATAGTTTTACATACTCTGGGAATCAACTGAATTATAAACATTGAGGATTACTACTAGTAGAATTGTATAAAATAATCATGTTATATACAATTTTAAACATACTTGATAAGAATGAATATTGCTACCGGTGGAAGACCTGTTGACGATGATGATGTTGAATTGGAAGTATTGACACTATTGAAGTTTATCATCACTGGCATATTGATTAAATCTCTCATCAAGATAAGCAATAAATCAGATGATATAAAATCTGGCCTCATGATAAGCCATGCATAGAATAAGTGTAACAAACAAATTTGTACACGGATAATATTCAACGCAGAATTACCATTTAACTGATATATATATATACATAATGTGTAAAGAGGAAAATAAAACAATACTACAATTAAAAAGTTGTACGAAATATGTTATTGTCTTATATGAGTAGTTGTGATAAGTGTGTATGATTAGAAGTAGTGTTAGTTAACCCACATAAGAAATGTGATTACAATGTTAAAGCGTGCAAACTAAATATAAATCTACTGAATAATTTTTCAAGCATAATCACATCAAGCTCCAATTACTTTGAATTCTATGATATCAGAAAAACCTACCATATCTCTCAAATAGATACAGTTGAAGCGGTTATATGATTTTCATCATAGATGTCTACGCAGCATTGCTAGCCATTGATAAGATCATCGTGTAAGCAATGTTGAGGCCAGGTGAAAGGTACTACGCGGCAAGACACGATCGCCAATTAAGGAGGTTGTGAACCTTCATAGACTGGGTAGGCTTAGACATACACTATGCATGACGAGACAATCACCTCCTACCTCGATGTATCATGTTAAAGGAAGTTGGATTAGGTTGCAAAAGTGTTCAAGGTGGCCAGACTAAGACAGGGCACCAGTCCACAAAACCCCTGACTGATGACTTGAGTTGTGTGCAGAGATGTAGACTGTCTGGTTGGGTGGAGTCCCCAAGACAAGAGGAATCAGTTGTTGAGGACTGAAGCAGGGTGATATGGATGAAAATCAGTGACAATGGCATAGATGTATTCACTCCTTGATATCTTCTAAAGCATGAACGTTCGCATTTACCTTTATCTTCAAATTGTTTATTCTCTCCCATAACTTTGTCCACTTTGATATCACTCCTTTTCTTTCCATCTGTTCTTTGTGTACGATTATGAAGTATGGCAAGTTGATTCGATGCACCTCTGTGCGAGGATCTACGCTGATTCCGTCAGCCTGTTATTTTTTTTCAACAAATAAAGACTTAATATCCAGTTCCTTTCCAGTCCGACTAATATGGCCGATTGAAGTCAATCACATCTCTACAGCATAGGAAATTACATAAATGTAGAGTAACAGATGAATAATCTAGAAGAAAGTTCGCTTAGTTGTATTCATGCATTGACACATAATCCTGAGATAGTATGGAATACAGGCGCATTTTTAAAGGTCGGTATACTTTGATAGAGACAGTGATTGATCACCAAATCTTTGTCCACAGAATGAACACTCATTTACTTTCAACAGAAATGATTGTTTATTTATTCCAGAGATATGAAAAGTCCTACTACCATTGAAATCAAAGAATGACAGATAATTGGACCATTAAAATGAAGTGTAAAGATGTGTAGAACTACTTTGAGGTGAGTATGAGTGGTAGGTGGTGTACCGGACGTCATCCAGTACACAATAATGGTTCGCTAGGTATTATATCAAATAAACGTACGTAATATAGGGGTAATTTCTAACTCGGTGCTCAAGTTCCTTTCGCACAATATTGAGCACAAATCTCTGATAAATCAATTTGGAGGTTTGTAGAGATTCGTTGACTTTAAGTTGAAAATCATTAACGATTGACGTCAGTTGGGCAACCATTGAAAATCTAGGAGTAATGGACAGCTATTTCATCTCAGTATGCGACTACTCATCAGTAAACATCATCGACATTTCCGGGCATGCAATCCAAGACCTTAAGGTTCCGTGGTGACCATGTTAGCATTGAGCCACTGGGTTGGAATTCAGTGGTTCACATCTTCCTACTTTTATCCCTTCCTGATATACCACAACCTTTATCTAGGGTCGTCGTTGAGTACCTGTGCGCATATCTGAGTTCGTTTACCCTACAGCTCAAGAACTTCAAGAAATCTAAACTCGAAGCAGGTCGCGAACGATCACTGAACAGTAATTCAACTTGAAGGTTCGCTAATCCGGAGTGCTCTTCACACACACTATTGCTTTTTGAAATTAGTCTTAGCAGTAATGATTCTTTTTGGTAGTATATTCCCTTCTCAATTTTCTTGTTAGGTGAGAAAACTGTTAATTTAGGATATGTAGTATGCAGCTTTTAAATATGCTGAAAACGGAAAATTGAAACCAGAGGATTCGATTTGAATATACAGAGTAGACATGATTAAATGTGTCAATAAGAGTAAAAATTAGTTATCTTTCAAATTTCAACGGTGTAAAGCTAGTTGCAAGATTAAGAAAGAATAGTTAGAATTTGTTAGTTGGACTGACTGGCTGACGAAATCAGCGTAGATCCTCGCACAGAGGTGCATCGAATCAACTTGCCATACTTCATAATCGTACACAAAGAACAGATGGAAAGAAAAGGAGTGATATCAAAGTGGACAAAGTTATGGGAGAGAATAAACAATTTGAAGATAAAGGTAAATGCGAACGTTCATGCTTTAGAAGATATCAAGGAGTGAATACATCTATGCCATTGTCACTGATTTTCATCCATATCACCCTGCTTCAGTCCTCAACAACTGATTCCTCTTGTCTTGGGGACTCCACCCAACCAGACAGTCTACATCTCTGCACACAACTCAAGTCATCAGTCAGGGGTTTTGTGGACTGGTGCCCTGTCTTAGTCTGGCCACCTTGAACACTTTTGCAACCTAATCCAACTTCCTTTAACATGATACATCGAGGTAGGAGGTGATTGTCTCGTCATGCACAGTATATGTCTAAGCCTACCCAGTCTATGAAGGTTCACAACCTCCTTAATTGGCTATCGTGTCTTGCCGCGTAGTACCTTTCACCTGGCCTCAACATTGCTTACACGATGATACCACCAAACGCAAGCAGTACTGTATCGACATCTGGGAGGTTACTAGTAATGATTCTTTTGTGGCAGTTGGTTCTTTGTGCAATAGTCTTGTTAGCTGAGGAAACTGTTAATTAAGGGCATCTAGTATACAACAAAATAGGCATGAATGAATGTTTCAATTGGAGGAAAAATTAGTTATCTTTCAAATTTTAACCGTGTATGGTTAGGATTTGCTGGTTGGATGATAAGAACATTCCAGCGAGTAATAACATCAATATACCTAAAACGTGTAATGAAAACAATATTTTAAATGATGTTTGAAGTAATGTGGGCGGGTTTCAAATCTCAATAGTTAAAACATCAAAATATTTGATTGAATAAAGGTGTGTGTATCCAACTGACAAGTTGTACATTTTGAGTATTTGCTGCTTAACATGATGTTATGGAATATTATACTCATACAAACACAAACTGATGAGTATTTTTAGAAATACGTAAACTTAATCTATGTACCAACAAATCAACATAGAAATATCTTACACACAATTGCATTCGTTCAAGTTGCCACAAATTAGAGTAGCTTACAAAGAACAAGTAAGGTAGAAAAAGCATAGTTGGAGAAGACTTTAGAAGACATCAAAGAGTGAATATACCTGCGCTAATTTCAGCGATTTGATCAAGAATCCTCAACCTATTATGCCAGGGACCCCCAGGTCAGGTAGGCTGCACTTTCCAATAGTAATAGACTTCATGAATCAACATAAAATGAGTATTACAAGATATTAAGACTGTTTTTATCACAGATTTGCATTAGTCGAGGGACAAGTCAAAACATCACAGAACTATGCAGCTATCCCCATTCTAGTTCGTGACTACACAGCAGTGAGCATCCAAAACCCCCCAACAAAGGACCGATAAGTTTCGTAACGAGTACGCTGGAATTTAAATGATGAAAAAAGATATAAAAGGTGATAATATAACTCAGAACTTACAACTTTACATCCACTAGTTGTATTTACATCTTGTGATGAAGAAAGCATAGAAGTAGAGGAGAATAATGTGGAAGAGGATAAAACAGAATTAGTATTTTGAGACAAATAACCCGAATTGATTAAATTCGACAAAAATGTATTGTTCATTGGTCGACGAATAGAATCACGTAGATTATTGATTAATATTGTCGCCGGTAGAACTGGACCAAAATGTTTATCATCGTATGTTCGACCAGTCATTAAATCCAACAGGCTAGTTTGTTTTTGATGCAAAGGGATCGAATAACTCTCTGATATTGTTTGTTTTAATTTGGTTACAGATAGAAAGAATAAAATACAAAAGGAATATAAAATAGTTAAATAACTGATTTAATCTTTTCAGTGAAAATAAATAGTTGAACTTTTAAAACATCATACAACTTAGTAATCACATATGTATCAGTGTGTGTACCATGCTGTATGTAAAACTCTAGTGGCTTTAAAGGTCACCCTAGCAACGACTGAAACAACCAATAAAGTTTCTTCATTTTGGTTGGAAAAGCAGATTTTCATTAAGTACAGAAGTCTAATTGGTTATTTCAGTTGTTGCTAGGGTGGCCTTTAAAAGTCGTCCGTTGATCTCACCTAACGGTACATAAAATAGTTATTTAAGAGAGAGAGAGAGAGATAGTCATACTTATAAAATGATGACCATGAAACCTCAGTGTTTAGACTATACACCCCCTAGTGTAGTAATCATTCTCAGCTAGCTTGGGTGTAGATAAGATATAAAATGTGGAAATGAGATATCGACCAACTAGACGCAGTCACTGCCTTAGGAACAATATACGAAGCCTTACTTAAAGACAAATGAGCAGTGGTGGACAATAATAAAAAGACATCTCAGTCTACCAATTCAAAAGGTGATTTCTGCTCTCAAAACCTACAAGTAAAGAAGATAAGACGCTGTAAACGATAGTCACACATTGTCACTTAATAGACATTTAATGGACAAACAAATATGTTGGTAAGCACATACAAATGTTCCGTTAATTATTTGCAACTCTTCGAGCTTTGTTTTGTATGTGTGAGGACTTCGATTTTGCTCTGGACATCAACTTTATTGTAGCTTTACAGACAAATGAAGGTTGAATATTCTAAATGAATAAAGTATCAATCGAGGAGTTATCACTTAGAGGCACAGACAGAAAACTTTCAACCAATGATGGGGACAAGTTCAAATCTCGCTTCAGCCAAGTTGTATCATAGCCGCTAAAAAGTATGGCTCATTGTCTCCACCTTTTCGTTGGGTTGGATTTCAGAAACAGCTAGACTGGACAATAGAAGTATGATTATCAGTCTTTTGATTGATATGCTGAACGAGTTTTATCTGATCAGTTCCTTCATCAATATATTCATAACTCGTTGCTAGGTCGTCACGTAAAATAATTCAGATATTATCACCGAACGAACCATTATCATTTACCCATTCGAATTTATCGGCTCGGGTTGGTATTCAACTCTTGACTTTAAGTTGAATCGAGGTTTTTGTACTCGAGTTATCATTTAGCTTTTTTTTTTTTGAAGGAAAATTGTACCTCATATTGTTCTTCGACACTAACTATTGATTTTATCTACCGATATTCTGAGGAATTCAGTTCACGCCTTATAATATAATATTTATTCGAGTCTTTTTGATGTACCATAAAACCGAATTCTCATATGGAGGGACTGATTTCACCCACTACTCTATCATTTGTATTAAATGCTGATTACTGTATTAAAGTGTACGAGGTGTGATACATTCTACTTGAGAATTAGTCATCTGGATGAACATGTATCTCACTGGAACACGAACCTAATATATGGCACTCCAACCATCACAGCGTTATACATCAGGATAGTGAGGGACCACTCATACAATGGGTACGGCTTAAAATTACAGTGCCGGTTAAATCATGACACTCACAAAAAGTCATATACTGAAAATCGAAAAGTATGCGTGAAACGATTAAGCTGGAAGCACTAGATAGCAGCCTCATTCTAGTATGAGAGTCCACAGTAGTACGCACCCATGAATCCGCCAGAGATTGAACCCAGGACCTTTTAGTTGCACGACGAGCGCGTTAACACTGATCCATGGCGTGGTTATGAGTATGAACTGCTCAGGGATCGGAAACTAGGACGAAACAGCTGTTCAGTGCTCCCAGGTTTCCAATGTATCTCCAACCGATGTCAGTCTATGATGAATGCCCACTTGAAATCAATGAATAAATCCCTAAAAACCTCCAAATTAGATTATTAAGCCATATGCATGTAGATGAGGCTTCACTGTTTGAAGTAACGGGCAGTGTGTTCCAGCCTCACTGAGAATGTATTGGTAGCTAGCTACTTATAAGAATTTATACACTAGCAACGTCGGAAAACACAAGAGGTTGTAAAAATTGATGGGTTAAGATTCTGTAAACAAGACAGAATATCAAGTACACACGTATAGAGAGTACGGAAACATTGTAAACTGAGAAGCATAAAAGGAGAATCTTTGTATGAAAATTTGAACCGAGGCAGGATTCGAACCACCAACCACTGCCAAACCACGGCGGTGGTTAATCGAAATGATGATTAACCTGTACGAGAAATTAATGACCAATCATTAACTTCATCAAGTGTTTTGATGTCTTACAAGTAAATCCAGGCAGTGAAAAACCATAATTTTATAAACCTTATAAAAACTTTCAGCTGCTTAATGTAAACAATAATACATGTGTTGTTTAGAGCTATCGGAAGTAAAAATTATTGAAAACAAATCAGTTTATTGTTTTGCACGTAACATACTTACCCGATGTTCCACTATCATTTCTCATTCTTATCGGTATAAGCATATCCAATGGGCCATAGTTTACTAAAGTATCACTTCCAGGAAGTAGACCACCAGTCTCACTATCGAAAATTGTATTCGGCCATGCTACAGCTGATGTCAACAATACTAAGTCAGGATGTTGTGCTGCAATTGGTTTAACCAGTCGACGAATAGCACCACGTACAAGACTGGCTGAACCAAGACTAATCAGTGATGGCAGTCGTTCCGGTGGAATAGATATCATTAAGGATGGACAATGCTCTTTATCTATAAAGTAATGAAAGGTTAAGAAAAAAAAAATGAAGACTCCCAGAATAGAAAGTAAAAACAAACAGCATATGATATTTACCTTGACAGTATCAAAGTTCATTATCCATTGCTTCACAGTCTTAGTGAAAAAATACGTGCACGATGTTATTATTATCATTAAAACTATCATTATTATTATTTGTTTGGCTTCCTAGTGGAATATACGGCTTCACTATCAAGTCGCCATTTCACTCTCGTCTCTCTAGTCTTTTCAGCCTGGCGGCTCCACTATTACCCACAAGCTTTTATTTTCTCTTCACACCATCTCCTTCATGCCATCCTTGCCTTGGACCCCAAACTCGTCGTTTCCCATTTCGGTTCCACACAAGGGCCTGGTCTGACACGTTATGCCCTCAAACGGACTTCTCAGCGCATATCCAATCCAATCCATCTCCACTTTCTTCTGCATATTTGTTGAGCGACAGGTTCTTGTTCGATTCGATGCCAGTCAGACAGTTCCTTGTTGCTTACTCTTATTATTCGGTGTATGTCTGTAATTTGTAAAACACCAAATCTCTCAACCATCACATAGAAGCCCGACATGACTGAATTAATGTTGAAAATCCGGATGTTGTTCACGCTTTATGATGAGTGCAGTGCAGTGCAGTATATCTCCACACTGATTTCAGGTTAATGAAGCAAGGCCTGTTTTGCTGTCTTTCCGATCCTGGCGCTGACATCCTTATCTGTGCCTGTGCCGCCGGCTGTAGTTGAAACGATGCTGCCTAAGTAGGTAGGTAGACAGGTAGGTAGGTAAGTGAAAAAGACAATTTGCTTTAGATTCCTCCCGTTGATGGTGATTAGTGTTTGCTGTCGCTTGGATATCTTCATCACCTCTGTCTTCTCCAAGTTCACCTGAAGGAAGTGTCTTCGCGAACCCTGCCTCACCTCTTCTGTCAACCTGTTGATTCCCACACCAAGTAAAAAGGCAGTGAAGTCGAAGATGAAGATAAGAAAATTCAGTCAGAAGAAATATTAAGTACTAAAAGAGAGAAAGGAAGAATGAGAAAATGGTGAGATTCGGGGTGGCGTTAAGATGAGGATAATGTATGTATACATCTGCGCCACTGACTTTGATTTTGAGCCATATCACCTAGAGTCAGTCTCCTGCCACTGGTTCCTCTTGTCCCGCCGACTGCAACTGGCTAGTCTGTATTGCCTTACATGGCTCAAACTATACATTGATACCATATTTTAGCCTAGCTGCCTCGACGCTTCTTCCAGCCTGGACCTACTACAGCCAACATTGTGTGACGAGACAATCGACGACTAGGGATACGTAACAAGTGTCCCAACCATCTCATTCGATGAAGGTTCATAACCTCATCAACTAACTTACCTCTTCTCCCTAAAACTCTACACCTGACTTCTGCGTTACTCACGTGGTGACACCACGGAATACGGTGTATACTACGAAGACAACGGTGATCAAACACTTGGAGCCTCAGGTCTTCCACCTTTAATGGCTATATTTCACAGTCATGGAGTAGAACAGAGCGAACTGCTGTGAAGTATATCCAACCCTTAATAGACAATCGAAAAGCACGGCGGAACAGCTCCTCACAGTCTGTTGCATGACCCAGTCGAGTCCAGTCCAGTGGACCACAATCAGAAAGATGATCGGTGATACTAGGCGGCAACTTTGTCTTACTCCTGTCCTCACTTCAACGGCATTACTGAGCTTTCCATTGTGTTGTGAATTACTTGGCATGTAGCATCATCATCATAGTCATATGGCTGTTGAATGAGGTTGATAAAAGTTTATGGTACTAAAACCGTAGTGTTGACGCAGCTGCCTATCAAATTACTTCTCGGTTGACGCTATCGAAGGAAGGCCTTTTCAAAGTCAGTGCAGTTGAGGTAAACAGTTGACTGCCATTCTAGGCTTTGTTCTATGATGATGCGTAGCATAGAGTTGCAATTTGATCCGCATATGATTTGATCTTCCTGAAGCCAGCCAGCCAACCAGCCAGCTTTTTCCGGTCGTAATTTTTAATGCTGAGCATTTTTGAGTCTCTTCAGGATGACAAGGCTTAACATTTTACTTCGAGTGGACAGGAGCATGATTCCGCGCCAGTTCTTGCAGAGACTAAGGTTTCCCTTCTTTGGAAGTTTGACAAGGTAGCCACTTCTTCCGATTTGCATGTACCTTTCCAAACCTTCTGCAAAAGTGGTATGAGCATGTCATCATTATAGGCTACACCAAATCACATGATTCCACTGAAACCCACTGGGAAGAGAGGTTTACTTTTCTGAGGTACTTTGAATAAGGTAGAACCCAGAAAGTATTTGCGATACAAGGAGCGAAAAACTGCAAGTACCTACTTACGGTGAGGTTAAATAACGTTATCAAATCAAGACTGAAAAGTAGAGGTAGAAAAGTCACTATCAAGCTCTGAAAGTGTACTTTCAGTGACTTTCAAATGGTAAAAAATGATCTTCAAGAATCAGAAAATCCCAAGGAAATTCATTATTTTAAAGATCTGTTTTTTTAATTTCCATAGGCAAAGTATGCAATTGCTCTCTATGCTTAAAAGAGTATCTCTGCTGATATAAGTGTAATCATGGGGACTTTCATGTCTCATAATATTTTATTATTTTTATTATTATTCCCTTGGGTTCCTAGTGGAACATAGGGATTCAGTAGCACGTCTACAGTGAACTCTCTTCTCTGAGATCTTTTGAACCTGGTCCACGACAGCCGACAAGCTCTCATTTCCTCCTCGCACGACCTCCTCCATGTCACCCTCATCTCAAACACCCAACTCGTCGCTTCCCATGAGGATTCCACTCGAGCAACTGGCCTGGTGAGTGATGTCCCCAGTCGATCTTCTCAGTGCACGCCCAATCCATCTCCACTTCCTCCTGCATATTTGTTGCATGATGGGTTCTTGGCTGGTTCGTTCCCAGAGCTCCTTGTTGCTTATTCTCATTGTTCTGGCAATCCATCTGATCTTCAGTAGCGAGCCAGCGTAGGTGGTAGTTGTTGATGAATGTCTGTAGTTTATTGGAAATCCCTTTCGTAACGCGCCAAGTCTCTCAACCATCACATAGAAGCACTGACTTGACGTTGGTGTTGAAAATCCGGATCTTGTTCCGCATGCTGAGTGCAAAAGATCTCCACAGTGGTTTCAGGCTAATGAACGCCTGCCTTGCTTTTCCGATTCTGACTTTGACGTCCTCGTCCGTCCCGCCACCTGTAGTTGAAACAGTGCTTCCTAGATAGGTGAAGGAGGTTACTTCCTTTAAGTTTCTCCCGTTGACGGTGACTGGAGTTTGTTGTTGTTGGTGGTGGTGGTGGTGCGGTATCTTCATCACTTCTGTCTTCTCTACATTCACTTGAAGTCCCGTCTTCGCTGCCTCTTCTGTCAACTTGTTAGTTTTCACCTGCAGATCTTCAAGTTTATGTGACATCAGACACAAGTCATCGGCGAAATCCAAGTCTTCTAGGTTCTTTTCCGCAGTCCAGCGTATCCCCCTCTTCTCACAGCTTCCCACTGTTTGCTGCATGATCCAGTCGACCACAATCAGGAATATCATGGGGGATAGTAGGCAACCTTGTTTCACTCCTGTCTTCACTTCAAAAGTCTCATAATATGCTCTGAATAAAATAAAACTATGATTGGTTTCTCAAGGTTACTTGATAAATCATTAGTTCTGGTCGCTATTCATTTATCACATACATGACATCCAAGTTACACAAAGGATGCTGGAATGATCATTCAAAAGTGTAATGATGAGATATTATACTCCTAATTTTATAGTTGTTGTATTAACACCTGTCACAAAACAAACTGAACATCCTTGAAAAACAATACAATTAAAGAATTTTACGAAAAAAATCACGTTCATTCATTTTATAAGTTGACGACTGAAATATGTACATCTTAGTATACTGATTCATTTCAGAGCTCACCACTTGTGACTTCATTCAAACAATCTATCCAATGATTTTTATAAGCTCAACAATCTTTTGCAAATTATTTTAAATAATTGCACAGTTTATATTGACATTTTCTACAGCTGAGCAGTTTTTTAACTACTAAACTATGGTATAAACAGGATGTCTGACAGAGATATCACACTCAATCTTCAAGTACTGGATACCGAGTTAGAACTTCACCTCTACCAACTTCAGCCTAGGTAATCAAGTAACATTGTAGGCTTTCACACATTAAGTGTGGCTTATAGACTAGTCCATGAACGCTTGTACCAAGTTGAGTTGTACTAAAAAGATTATTGTTTTCAACTTGGAAATATGTAGATCAATCTGAGTGGTTTCAAAATAATTACAGAGCTCAACAGTATATTTTGTTAGTTTATTAGGCTCATGTACCATAGACCCCACTATGATTTTCATTGGTTGGTTTCAAACAGAAACCTCGTCGATATTACAGTTTGGCAGTTGAAAAACTATTCAACGTAAACCATTTAATTTGAAAATACTTTGTAAACTGATCGCTGAATTTTTGGTGTACTGGTTCGCTAAGATCAGCTAGACAGATTCAATTAATGTAAACAATTAGATTTTGTGCGTTGAATTTGTCTGAGTACACTGCTGATAAGAATGACTCAAAACGGGTGAAATGGACTTTCAGTGTTTATATTACTCTGAGTAGGTTAAAGAAATTTGAAGATCAGCGTGAGAGGTTTGTAGCTAATCATATTCTTCAGAAGCATAATCAATTTTACGTTGGAGTTGATCATGAACTGACATCAGTTGGGGGAACATTGGAAACATGAAGCTCTCAACAGCTGTTTCGTCCTACTGTGGGGCTCCTCAGCAGTGCGCACCCATGACAACCTCGACAGGGACCGAACCCAGCACGTTATCGTTAAGCCACCAGGTCGGAATTAAATGATCCATATTTTCTACTTCCATCAGTTCATGATAAACCCCGACCTACATCCAGTGTCGTAGTTGAGTAACTGTCCTCATGTTCGACTTGGTTGACTCCAGTGGTCACGACTTCTCATTGGAACTTTAGGAATCATTTATCAAACCCAATCATCACAAACCTCTACGTAGAATTAATCTATCGCTTATTGATGACTAGCTTCGAGAGAAGATTCCTGAAGTTTCAATGAGAAGTCATCATCGGTGGGGCCAACAAAGTCGGACATGAAGACAGTTACTTAACGACGACATTGGATGGTGGTCGCACTATATCATGAACTTACAGAAATAGGAAATATGGACCATTGGATTTCGATCCGGTGTCCAAATGGTAACGCGCTGGCCACAGAACCTGAAGGTCCTGGGTTTAAGCCCTGGCAGGAACATAGGTGCGCACTGGTGTGGAGTCCTGTAGTAGAACAAGACAGGTCTCCAGTGGCACCAGGTTTCGAAATATCATCCAACTGATGTCAGTCCATGATGCATTCCAACCTAAAAACCAATTAATAAATCTCAACAAACCTCTAGATAGAAATAATCAACTCTAGTCTATTCAACCAATCATATGAAGGTGACCTTCAGAATCCATTCACAAAATATCAGCCAATCATATTAAGCGACAGACCTAGTCAAAGTCAAAACACAAATGACTTTAAAGGTCATCCTAGTAACAAATGAAGTAACCAATTAGACTTCTTTATTTTATGAAAATCTCCCTTTCTAGTAGAAATGAAGAAATCTAATTGATTTTTTCGATTGTTGCTAGGGTGATCTTTAAAGTCGCCCCAAAACACCAGTGAGTGGTCAGTTAATTTTTTAATACGCCCATATTGTATGAGATTGTTCAATTCTGCTTGAATTCAAATAAATGTTTCAGTGATACACATACTGGAATAAAGTCAAACATTTACATGGAGTTTGTTCTTTACTCAAAGATATAAACCAAATGGAATGTACGCTCAAAAAATCGTCCAATCAGATATTAATAACTTACATCAAAATAACATTGATAAAGTAAATGAAAGAGAATAAAAAATCAATGATAAAAGAGGTGAAATAACCTGGATAACGACTGTTCATTACAGCAGTTGACTTGTAAAAGTTTGTTTTAATTGATTGGCATAATGGTGACTGATTAAATGCATTCCATAGCATAGATAAACTAGTAAATATATCAGGCATTAAACGTAGTAACTCCGATTGAGCTTGTATAAAAGGATGATAATCTGGATTTAATATATCATCTTTGATATTGACATTCTGAGAATTCTGAAGGAAAATTAAAACTGTATATACAGATAACGAAGAAGTGAAGTATATCAACTTAGAAAATACAAAGTAGATTGATAAATATGAGGGACTTGAATAAATGGTATTTTGGTGATGACTATCTGAGATAGCTGTGATCTAGAAGACTTCTATTACTTGATACGTTGTGATGAACAAAGATAAAGTGGAAACTTGGATAGCTGCAGGATTCGAGCCACTGATCTCTGGGTTACCAGCTCTGCACTCTACCAAATAAGCTACGAGACCAGTTGTAGACCAAGTTTTAACCTTAATCGTTGGGAGTTTTGCTAGAATTATCCATGTGTAACACTAACCATTCATCGTAATCACACGATCTGATCAACCAGAACTTCTCATCATTACCCGAATCGAACTGTATCAATCATAGGATAAATAATACAAACAGCGAGAAAGGGAAATGATCTGCACCAGTCCAAGTGCTACGCTCTAAACTACTATTTCATGGATTGCATACAGTAAACATCAAATGGTTTGAGTCATGTAGACAATGAGAGGTAGAAGATAAATGTTTGAAGACTTACAATGATATGACTCAAGAAGTGGTCAAAAGGTAGAGATGTATCAGTTTTCAACATCTTCTAAAACGTACAAATCCTCATTTATTTATCTTTTCTGCTTTCATTTTAATAAAATATCTTTCTAACTATATTTGTTTTCACATTCTGTTTACTTGCCTGTCTACAATTGGTGCTTTTGTAAGGTCAAGCATTTGCGTTTCAAACAAATACGGAATAAGAGTATGATGCTAATACTTTTTTACTCATTCATGCAGCCAATATCACTAAGAAACCTGACATTATTGAGTGACAGGTCCACAATGATACATCTTACATTTCAAAACATCAAGATACAAAGTAACAGAATGAAAGATGGAGAAAGTAGTCGAAAGATGTACTAAAATATGGGGCGGTAGGAGGACAATGACGGAATTCAACATGAAGATCACGATAATGATCCATCTGTGATACCGAAGCAGATTCCATGTAACTTCAATCACAATCTTCGATCACTAGTTTACTTTCCACACTAACCACAATCAAGAAGTCTACTTTTACCTACACAGGTTAAATATTCAATCAGAGACTTCAAGGAATGATGGGCATTTTTAATTTGGTCACCTTTTATTCTTTACCTGCGTAAACTCACGTTAGTCAACAATGGATGTAGGACTAAATGGTGCCAGGGCATACATAACATATGCCCCAGCGAAAATTCCTTTTACGGCGAGAACGCGAATACCTACCAGCAAAAGTCACCCACATACCTCACCTCACTCAGCTACCTTGTGCATATCCATGCAGTAGGTAAGGAGCCACACCGACTTTATGGGGGCTAGTGATACTGCCTGATTTCCCAAACGTCGATAGGTAGAGCGGGGTTTGAACCCGTGACCCACCTCCCTAAACCACTGAGACACAGCTCGGAACAAGTTGCCTGTTGGTTAAAAGTTTCTGATATTTCTTCAATATACCCCGGTTGAAATGATTGAACAACGATGCCATAACAACAGAAATTTGTAGTTTTTGAAGTAAAACTCCGGCCAACCACCCTAACCATTACTTATAGATACCTGGAGCTGAAACACTGGTAAAGCTACTAACTTTATGAATGAATTTGAAGTGCTATATTACAAATGACGATTCAGTTAGTGAAACAGTAAGTATTTGTAAGATAAGAAAAGACCCAATCAACGGGAATATGGTACGCACTTACTTTTACACGATTAAGAAAGATTACGGTAGCATTTGGAGAATGAACTGGAACCTCCTTATTTTCAGGTTTATCATCACTAGTTCCACCAGAAGTTAAAATGACAGCTGGCTCCGTGGTCAAAATACCATCCGCAAATGAATTCACTGTAATTGGATTTGAACAATTGTCTACATTTTCTGTTAATGGAGATGGGAATAAAGGATCAAACACTGGTACAATATTTGTGGTCTCAATCGACGGCCCACTAGAAGTTGGAGGATTCGATTTATGATGACTAAGAATCTCAGCAATTTCTACAGCACATTCAATTGAATCCGGTAGACCAGATAAATAACCGGTACTTGGTGGATTAACACGTGATGGGTTACTTGTCTGTGGGGGAGGCACTTTTCGAGATAACGACATCGCAGATAAGGTGGCATTACCTCCTGGAAGGAGAAATGCATGACAAATACCTTGAATTAAAGCCAATGACGTTAAAGTATAGTCAGGTGGTAAGAGATTCCATTCTGCACTGTTTGATAATTGCGATCTCCTATGGGAGCTAAAAAAAAACAAGACATATATAATATCTTAAAAGGAAGCAACAAATAGCATGTATCACCTACAGTTGCAGGTGTCAATGAGTATTTACCGAATATCTTGATTATATTCCTGGAATCGGTAAGTTCACTTCTGGTCATCACTAACCACTTTCTGCCTTATTCCTACTATGCTATGAAATAACAGGATGTCATGTACTGGTCTCAATAATATAACTATGCTAGTGAGCTATTGTTATTTTGTACATTCTTGTTCAGTAACACAAATAAATCCCTTCATTTTACTATCTATTATCACTTATCAGTACACAAATGCGACACCCACAGCACAAGTGTAGGGTTAGAAAGGAAAACTTTCCAAGGTGATTAGATAGCTTGGTTTCATCAAATAACCTCAGGTGATCCCTACTTCACACGGATTGATCTACTGCTTGAAGGACATCTGGTTGACTCGGAGTATGCAGACGATATTGGCCGGCCAGATGAAGATGCTGATGCAGTGCAGAGTTTTCTGAACTACTTGAGCAGCAATCTGAGTATGTTTGGCATACATTTCGCACCTGCAAAATGTAAAATGATGCTCCATGACTGGATTGCTGTTAGTACTTCCAGTTTGATGAATTTGTGGAAAGTGTCGACAACTTCACTCAATCGAGAGTTCCATCACCCCACATAGGCTGGTCACTGACAAAATCTCAGAAGGCCCGAATGGTATTGGCCAACTTGCGTTCTTTTTGGCGGCAACTGGCGAGATATCCGACTAACTATCAAAGAATGAGTATACTGCATTGCAGTCCGTTCTGTTCTGTTGTACGACTGCGAGACGGTAGGTAAAAGTAGAAGACATAAGGTGGTTACACGCTTTTGATCACAATTATGTTCGCAGAATCGCTTGCGCGCGGTGGAATCACCGTTTGAGCAATGTTGAAGTCACGCAAAGAGCACTACGCACGACAGCCCGGTAAGTCAATTAACGAGGTTGTGAGCTTAAGTCAACCAAGATGGCTTGAATATGTACTATGTGTATCTAGCCACCACCTACCTCGAAGTGATACTATAGAAAGTTGGATTAGGTTAGATGAGGATTCAGGGTGGGTAGATGAAGACAAAACACCAATCCATGAAGTCTATGACCGTTGGTCTGAGTCGTGTGGAGAGACGTAGACTGCCTGGGTGGGTGAGTTCCACGAAACCAAAAGAATCAATAGTTGAGGACTGTTGGTAACGGCTGAAAATCCGGTGACAATGGCACACTTGTATTCACTCCTAGACATCCTATAATGCTCGAATAGTTGCATTAACCTGTAACTTCAAATTGTTGATTCTGCCTTTCTGCCAGTCACCACAACCTCTTGTTGGAGGGATTTAGTGAAAACTACTGTCTTTTCTACATCATTTGCTTGGACTGTGATTGCGTGTATTGCTTACAAACTTAGTTTTTAAGTCTTTGTCTGAGATGGTGAGAGATTAAAACTCACAACTTGGATTTTTTTGAATAAGAATAGTGAAATTGGATGTTTTGATTCAATGAAAACAGCCTATAAAAAAGATGTGCACCACAATTTTAAAACTCTTACCTCATAGTATTCCACGCCTGTATATCTTGTAAAGCTCGATCAGATAGTTTATTCAAACTTAAACACGCCTGTTTTACAGTTACACGAACCAAGGATCCAACAAACCAACCCCAATAGGATAAACTATCGAATACAAAACGATACCATATTAGATGTAAATCTAAGCGTGCTATAAGAAAACTTGAATTACCACATTCAGTCAAGTGATCAGGAGATGATAGACCAATAGACAATAATTCAGTGAATAGACTGACTTGATCTCTTTCAACACTGTATTACTTGCAGTTTTTGGAATATACCATAATGCAGTTAGACAATTTGTACGAAATAATGGTTCACGATTTATACATTTGGGTAATTTATTACAGGCTTTCGACCATATATCAGCCATACAGTGCATTGGCAAATCATGAATAGTTGATTCACTATCCAATAGAATGCCTTGACAAACTGGCCATAGTAAACTATTGTAGTAGAACGATTCTGCTGAGGATTGATTCTGTGGTTGCTGTTGCTGTTGTTGATGCTTCACTAAAGACATACGATCAGAGTAACCATACCATGGTCTTAGATGAAGTATTCCATTGAATAGTTTCAACAACATTTGCAATTGTGTAGTATGAAAGGTATTCGGTAAATTGGATAATAAATCATTTACAAGGATTAATTGCAGACAGGTAGGGAGTTTTCTAAGTTTTGCAAAGAAAGGAAAAGAAAACTTAGCACAAGGGATAATTCTATGTTTTTACATCACAAGATAATAGATAAATTGGTCTCAGAAACAAGTTCAAATTCAATTGTTCCATGGCAGAATCATGGGTGATGAGAAATCCTATATTAGGACGAAACAGTTGTCTAGTACATCCAGGTAACTAGTGGTTCTTTAACTAATATCAGGTTATGATGGATATATCGAATTTAAATCAAACTAAACCGCTCCATGTAATACCCGTCAACTACTCTAAAGTTTAGAGCAAAACTGACCAATCACAACAGTTATTACAACTATCAATCAAAGCCGTTAGGATTCAAATATGAATACTTCGTGTAATCCAACCGATGAGTTAGAAGGTCAGAAATAAGCTCTGCATACAGAGGTTCGGGTAGCCAGGTAATATGATCAGCTTTAACACCAATTGGCGCGACCTAGTGTACCAATGTGTACAAGATGACAGGAGTTCGACTAATTACTTGCTGTTTTTTCTCAACTATGAAAAACTACGAGAAAGCTCCATAATTTTCATAAGTTTTGCCAAACATACCATTTTGAAGGATAACAAAAACACAAACTTCCCTGAAAATAAAAAGATCTGGACAAAAAATAATTGTAAAATACTAAATTTTGAAGAAGAAAAAAAAGGTTACCTAATCCCATTCGATGTTGAATAATCAGACCATATTTTATGATTATTTTTAGGCCAATGTACTTTTGTAATACAAGAAGCTAGACAATGGAGAACAACTGATGGTAAACAAGTATGATACAAGGTGTTTTGTACTAGACGACGTTCATTAAATTGATGTAGTATAGAAGGAAATGTTAAAGAATTTGATAAAACAGATCCCATTGCATACAATGATGTTTCAGAAGTTCGTGTAGTAGATGAAACATGTTTAACACTTGATAGAGTTGAAGAAGAATTACACTTTAATAAGGAATCCATCATTGACGAATTAATACATTCATCCTGTATGCATATCAATTGCTGAAACAGATAAAAATTAATGTACCTTACAATTGACTACTATTAGTAGTTGTCAAACTATTGAAAAAAAATGTTTATTCATCAATAGGAATTAAAAAAAGAATATCCGAAATAATCTTGTGATGACTAGTAGTGGCATCCAGAAGGCAAGTTTCGTCTTATTTGGGACTCCTCAGCCAGACTTATTAGCATCCAAGTGACAATCAAATATAACGCTCACCACTTTAGATGCCAGAACGTTATCTAGCTAAGGCATTCGTTCAAGGAGACCATATGCCAACAGTGATCCATTAGTTCAGTCCAGTATAATGTAATCGAGGGGAAAGTAGAGGCGTTCATAAATAACCTTGTGAAACATCTTTTCATACATACATATACACAACCCGGATTCATTTCAAATGATGTAAAAACCGGTGAAACAGTATTTTATACTGTACATTGATGAATACATAGTAGAAAGGATAGAAGATTTCAGAGTAATTTCTGGTTAGATTATGTGACAAAAGATTCACTAGGGTACTATTCAATAGGGCTAGAAACCTAAGCTCAGCAAATAAACAGGAAGAATTTACTGCTATTAAGAAATCCCTTTTTAAAAGAATTGTTTATTCTGAAAAAGGTCATTCGTAGATTCGCCAGCGAAAATATCGACAAATGTCCAGGAATTGAATCATCGAAGGAACCGATATTTATCCGATTAGCATTGAAAGGATATTCATTGAGTAAATGTTGACATTCATCCTGTACTAACATCAGATGGAGACAAATCTATTGCTTATTGGTGAATGGCTTCCAGAAGTGATTTCTGAGGTTCCAATGAGAAGTCGTGACAAGTGGGGCGAACTGAGTTGAACATGAATACAGTTACTCATCGATGGCATAAGATGGAGGTCGCAATGTATCATGAAATGATAAAAGTCGGAAATATGGACCATTGTGTTGCAACTCAGTGGTTCAATGGTAACGTCTTGACCGCATAACCTGAAAGTTTTCGGTTCGACACCTCGCGGGGTCATGGGTTCGCACTGCTGATTCCCATAACAGGACAAGACAGATGTTTCCAATGTTTCTTCATCATATGTCACCTTGAACTGAATTTACCATTTCACCCCTTGCATATGTCAAAATAGGTACAGTGGGAAGATAGAGAAATGTGCAATCACTTATTTGCTTGACCACATTCAAAGAAATCGATAGCTTAAAGAACCCAATTACATTAGCAGTTTCTATGCCAATCACATGCCTGGTACAGGACATAAAGTCAACGTTAAAAGTCTTTGAAATCAATAATATACATTTTGTTTCTATCTTGCTTCAGTTTGCAGAAAAGCATAGCAGTTAAACGCAACAGAGTCTGATCTCCATATTGGAAAAGACTTCGTAGTTAACCTATGACTACCTCCAAGAGAAAAATAGAGTTATTTTTCGGTCAGTTATTGCTGTCCCTCTCCCTTTTCTGTTTTGATCATGATTACAACTTGCTGATTTCTACTTCATTCCATTTAATGAATATTTTATATTATGTTCATGATTATCTTCTTGCTAACGCTTTCAACTGATGACCTCCACTATGACCACACCAGAATAATCATCCGAGTCTTGTTTGTAGTTTCCCGGTATTCCCATCATATAAACTTCGATCTTTTCGTACTGTCGTCTAATGGATGATGGATTCTACATCCTGAGCTAGATCAATTTTAAATCCCTTCATAAACTGTCTATTAGCCTGTAAGCAGGTGACTAGACTGCAATGAAATACAATAGGTGTCACAAGATTTGCTTTTATTGTGCTATTCAAATTTTTAAAAGAAAAGTGAATACAGAAAAAGTACCAAACAAGTAGGAAAGAGATTGAAAAACGCACTACACTGAAATGATTAAGTAACAAAATACATAAAGCAAAGATCAGTGAATTTAAAGATTATTATTCGTGTTATCATTATGCTAACATATCAATAAGGATTGGTCAGTCAAGTGGAATTTACAAGTATCAATAAATAACGAATATATCTGCTTCACAAGAGGTGCTTCTCATGATTCAATAGGCTGGTGGACAGTGCTAGGTTTCAGCCACAATCGGAATACTACTACTGATCGAGATGCAGGTGCATCCTGCTGACGAGACCTCAAGTAGGACAAAACGCTAGTCTTGGATTCTGCAGCTAGCCTCTAAAAAGCAAATAAACCATAAAATAAAACTTGGGGTAATACCGAGGCACCTCTTCCAGGAGGCCGTTAAACCAACAGAGACGGACAAATTCAGTTCAGCATGATGATCAGTGGGAAATTCCAGGCATACATTTTTATTATTATCATTATTACCGTTTAATAATCGTGTCACAAGCGAATCATATATCTCCCCTAGTCGACTATATTGTTTATCCCATTGACAAATAGTATGCAGTAATTCCTCGAGGTATATGCTCATTAATCCTGAGTGGTACTGTCAAAAACTCATAGAGTCAACACTGTTTACTTCACCTAGTTTGATAGCGGAACGTTTGCACTAAAATAGAATAATAACTCATTGACAGATGACTTACTTTAACAATTAATTCTAAGATTTCAGCGGCTGTATTTTGAACAAATTGATTAGCACGAAATTCACGTCTTGAAAAACCATGACGACGTCCAAAATTAACAGATCCATTGTCAACATTGTCTGTAGATGATGTATTATTTGTTGTGATTGTAGTAGTTGTAGTAATGTAGGGTAGATAGCTGCACATATACTGTAAACATAAGTCTATAATTAATTCTAATAGATTTGTATAAGCTTGTAAGGAGTAACTTAATTCATCTGAAGTAGCATTTGTATAGAAATTGTAACCACCCAATGAACGTCGATGCCTAGACAAGAGTTCCACAAAATTTAAACCATAGAAATTAAAACACAACAATGAATTGATTGTACACGATGCAAGTGAGCGAACAAATAGGCCAGGTGCTATGCATAGAATAGCTCGTAGACGAGAAAAAGCGTAAATAACCTGTAAAATAAAACTGAAATCAATTATGCTGTATATAATTCACATTCATCTATACAGTAACAATACAGCAATAATTTCAAAGAGGATAAACATCAACCCTTAGATCTGTGTTAATATCTAAAAGTCGATTGAAGAGGTTGTGAACTTTAGTCAGCTAAGATGGCTTAGATATGTACTGCGCATGCCAAGCCATCCCCCACCTCGACGAGCCATGCGAGGGGAAGTTAGGTTGAGTTGAAAGAGGGTTCAAGATGGTTAGACCGAAACTCAGACCCAGTCGATGAAGTCTGTTACTATTGATCTGAATCATATAGGAAAATATAGACTGCCTGATTGGGTGAAGTCCCCAAGACCAAAGAAATCAGTGGTTGACGACATTTAGTGATATGACTGAAAATTGGTCACAGTGGGACAGATGTATTCACCATTTTCTAAAGGTTGGATATTAGGACTAACCTTTATCTTCCTATTGTTAATTCTCTCATACTACTTTACCTTCTTTGATATAATTCCTTTTCTAGTCACCTTTTCTTGTGTGTACTTCTGTGAAGTGTTGCAACTTGAGTCGATGCACTTTTTTGTGAGGTTCTACGTTGATTTTGGTAGTAAGTCAGTTATCAACCTGTTTCGTATGAACTTCAAACCTTTAAAAATAGATTAGACACTTCTTCAACCTCATCACGAATCAGTTAGTCAATATTGTTAAGCAATGTGGCATTACTAAGTTTCGGTTGAATTCTCTATACTTGATATGAGTATATTAAGATACAATAAGAAAAACGCCAAAAAAAAGATATAGGAGAATTTACTTCCCCCAAAACAAAGGGGTGTGAGCTACCTAATCTCTATGGACTGCCTAAAATTCATAAAACTAACAATCCTTTACGTCCTATACTCGCCACGTTCCATTCACCTACACATAAAGTGGCGGAATGGTTAGCAAAAATTTTAATTCCTATTCGAAATAAATTATCTAAGTTTTCTTTGAAAGATACTTTTAAGCTTGTTGATTAGCTTAGTGATATTAATATCAAAGATGAGGTTGTACTCTTTTAATGTCAACTCGGTATTTACTAACGTATCCCTGATTAAAACCATTGACATACTTTGTGAGCATATATCTTCCAGTAATTCTTATTTCCCTATCTCTTCAACGTGTTTGAAAGAGCTGTCATTATTGTGCACTGATAAAGCTCATTTCACATTTCAAGGTGAACATTCTCGACAAATAGATGGTATGGTCATGGAAAGTCCCCTAGGACCACTGCTAGCTGCTATTTACATGTTACACAATGAAGGTTTCACCGGCGATGTCATCAGTAAAGTTAAATTCAATAAGAGAAATGTCGATGATATAATTGTGATGTGACAAGCATGAAGATGCGACATGTTTCTCATAAAAACTCAACATTGTACAAAACGACATAAGCCTAGCATATGAAGAAGAGAAAGAAAACCGTCTGCCGTTCTTGGATATACTCCCAAGTCATGGAAATGATGGTTTAATAAAACGGTCGGTTTACAGCAAAAATAGCTTTTGTCGAACTCAATACAATCCAATTTTAGTAACTTGCCGATTCAAAAGGATCCAGCGTATTTGTACGGAGGACTCAATCGATGATGACATCAAAATATCAATAGAAATATTAGTTGAAAATGAGTGCACATTGAAGTTCATATGCCACTGCAAAAATTAGCCAGGATTGAAACCTAATCTGTACTCAATTTCGAAGAAATGCGTAGATATTGCGTTGCCATACAGAGGAGAATCTAATAGCGTGTTATATTGAAACGAAGGTTAGAATCTGCTGTTAGTAAAACATACTATGCAGCTAGGCTTATCGTAGTGCAGGAGACCAAACACATGCTGCAACATAGACCTCAACGCTGTATAAACGATTGCATCACAACGCACTGCGTTTATAAATGTGTATGTATGCTTGTGGATAAACATACATAGGGAGGACTAACCGTCATACTCACTTGAGGGTAGGAGAACGTGTACCAAAAATGGCTACAAAAGCAGCTGGATTCACAAACATTGATAAGTGCAGCTGGCAGACAACCATCATCATCAATTACAAACATATCATTGACAAAGGTCATAGGATAGATATTAAAACAGCCATTACGATTTTGTATAAAAAATGTCACGGGCCCATACTTAGGTTTCTTGAATTGTTAGCTATAAACAACTTTCTTATTATTGAGTTCCTTTGCCAAACTTATCCTTCTCCCACTTCGAGTTTTCATATACAATGCCTTAACAAGTAAATGTGGTCAGATTGTTCGAAATGTATAGAGTAATATAAGTGTAAAACATGAGCACTGTGGTAGAAATTAATTCCATATTATATTTGTTTATTTGATTTATAACACACAATGAGTGATCTAGTATTATTTACTTGGTGACGTTTCCAGTATAAATTATTACTCATAATCATATCAATATAATCACACTACTTTCAACATTTGATTTTTATAGTTACGTCACTTTATATAAGTTGTTTTTATTGGTAGCGAAATTTTTCATATCTCTGGAATAGGTGTTGCGTCATTTCTATTACATGTGTTGGGTGTTGGTTGATTCTATGAACAGAGATTCAGTAATCTCCACCTAATTATATTGATGTTATTAAGGTCTGTGAGGTCAATCAAGTATATAGGTCAAACTAGTCGGTCGGGGTCAATTAGAATAGCCGAACATAGGAATTTAGCTGAATATCGAATGACAGACCCGAATAAGTTCAATAATCTAGAAGAGAACTTCGGCTGTTGCAATGCATGCATTAACACACAACTACACAATAGGGTAGGTGGGATAAAGCCACTGTAATTAGGTGGAGAGATTGATTACTGAATCTCTGTTTATTGAATCAACCAACACCCAACGCATGTAATAGAAATGACGCAACACCTATACCCGAAATATGGGAAATCTTTGTTGTATTGTGTTCTCTGAGCTAGGTTGTTTAATCGTGAAGCTTTCATCGCCTTGCTAGACGACATCATCAGCACTAACTTCGCCTTCGTCTACATGAGCACCAATTGGCGATTAAACGCCACGACATTTCGTCACTCATTTCAATGCATGTGGATAATTACGAACATGAATTCAACTTCGACACTGTAGAAATTTTGGACAGACGAAACACAAAGAATGTCAGAAAATTTCTAGAAGTTTGGCATTCAGGTCAGTTAGCAATCAACAAAAGTATAGGTATAGACCCAGTCTATTAACCAATAAGAAAAATGATAAACGACAGAAAAGTCAGAGACGGAGCAGAGGAACAGCCAACAGGAAAGTCTATACAATCAATTACACAACAATCGAAGGAAACAACCAATCACAAACCATACCGTCAGACCAAGCTACTAAATCTCTCACGGAGAGATATTGACAGCTGACTTCACACTGAAGTTAGTGCTGATGATGTCGTCTAGCGAGGCGACGAAAGCTTCACGATTAAACAACCTAGCTCAGAGAACACAATACAACAAAGATTTCCCATATTTCGGGTATAGGTGTTGCGTCATTTCTATTACATGCGTTGGGTGTTGGTTGATTCAATAAACAGAGATTCAGTAATCAATCTCTCCACCTAATTACAGTGGCTTTATCCCACCTACCCTATTGTGTAGTTGTGTGTTAATGCATGCATTGCAACAGCCGAAGTTCTCTTCTAGATTATTGAACTTATTCGGGTCTGTCATTCGATATTCAGCTAAATTCCTATGTTCGGCTATTCTAATTGACCCCGACCGACTAGTTTGACCTATATACTTGATTGACCTCACAGACCTTAATAACATCAATATAATTAGGTGGAGATTACTGAATCTCTGTTCATAGAATCAACCAACACCCAACACATGTAATAGAAATGACGCAACACCTATTCCAGAGATATGAAAAATTTCGCTACCAACAAAAACAACTCATATAAAGTGACGTAACTATAAAAATCAAATGTTGAAAGTAGTGTGATTATATTGATATGATTATGAGTAATAATTTATACTGGAAACGTCACCAAGTAAATAATACTAGATCACTCATTGTGTGTTATAAATCAAATAAACAAATATAATATGGAATGTATAGCGTAAATACATTACATTTTTCAGATAATCTGCGTCTTCTAATTACATCATCCAAAATCATAGGAAAGTATGACAAGAAATAGAGGTGAAAGTAAACTATTCACAATGTGACATAAACGTGTAGGATGAAAATAAGGTATAGATGTATTTGTGTCATTACAATCCATGATGAATTATATAGTCTGGGAATAATGAACTATTAATTTAAACTGACATGTAAACAACAACATGAAAGTTCCTATTGACATCATGCAGCAAACAAAACTTAACTGTAAGCTTTATACATTAGACCTCAACAACTAGCCACCTACTGTATACTACATGTATTTCTCATAGTATGCATAAGCTGACAAAATAAATCACCCTAAGATACGATTTAAAAAAAGGCAGTTTGCAAAAAATTCTTTAACCAGTGAACGTTTAACGGTTCTCAGATATTTGTTATGCATCACCAAACTTGTAAAGGCCTAAGCAATTCATGATACAAGTTTTAAAAAGTCATCGTAAAATCATCATTCATCATCATTAGTCCCTTAGGTTCCTAGTGGAACATAGGGCTTCAGTAGCACGTCTACAGTGAACTATGTTCTCTGAGATCTTTTCAACCTGGTTCCACGACAGCCCACAACCTCTCATTTCCTCCTCGCACGATCTCCTCCATGTCACCCTCACCTCGGACGTCCAACTCGTCGCTTCCCATGGGGATTCCACTCAAGCAACTGGCCTGACGCGTGATGTCCCCAGTCGGCCTTCTCAGTGTATGCACAATCCATCTCAACTTCCTCCTGCATATTTGTTGAGTGATAGGTTGTTGGTTGGTTCGTTAGTCGGCCAGAGCTCCTTGTTGCTTATTCTTTCTGGCCATCTGATCTTCAGTAGCGAGCCATCGTAAGTAG